TTAGTCTCGAAAATCAAATAAATCAAATATTGTTAAACTATTTGTTAAACTATTGTACGGATTTTATCGCGTTAATTTTTTTTTATTTCCGATGTTTCGAACAATTTATAAAGGAATTAGACAAAGGACGCAATATAGACTCAGTTTTTTTTTTAAATGTATACTTTTTAAAAAAATATAAGAGGTGGTAGATTGTAAAAACGGTCTAATCATTTATTTATGTAATAAATAAAGAGAACTCTACCACTTTGTTATTGTTACGCGATATTTTTGACACTGAATTTTATACACACCATGAAAGCAGCCAGTGCCTTTTCTCCGAAAACGTTAAGACGCTTTCCGACGAAGTCTAAAAGGATAGTTGGCCGGTGGCCGCAAAAGACGTTGCCTGCGGTCACTTAATAGCTGCAATAATTTGTCGCTCGTTAGGCCGGCGATTGACTAGAGCTGTGCGCCCCTGGGCAACGTCAATGGATGGATGGAGCCTTTCTCAGATAGGTGTAAGGGCTTATATAGACCTGATCTAAAGTATGCTGGTACGATCGGGCTAAATCTAACCTGATATTTTATTTGTATAATTTTATTTGGTAATTACTTATTTACTTTTGAGTATGTGTGAATATAATTATAAATAATGCTAAAATTAAATTAAACTTGAACCCGTATCGTAGCGGACTACCAAACCGCTATGTTACTTTACTGGTTGATTACGTACAATGATTTAAAACAGTCCGTCGTACATTTGTTTTCATTGGTATAGGCTTGTTTCATTTATTTATTTATTCATTCTCTATGCACAAATATGTATATACATACAAAGACGGACTTAATACCATCATTTTCCCCCAGTCAACCACATTAGTTCTTGGACCATTCCAGGACTATTTTAACTTAGGACTATTTCTATTGCTTAGTAGCAATCCTGTTGATTACAGTGACTGACTTAATAATAAGAGAGAATTAATAATAATAAAAGAAAACGCAGTTGAAGGATATGTAGTGTGAAGCATAGGGAATGTTACCAATGAACGTCCAGCTCCACCAGTGTCGAATATACGGTAGGATCTTAAATATTTAAAAAGCATTTACTCTTAAGGATATTGTATCGTTCCGGATTTTGAGGTCAGGTCGGTTGTTAACTTAAAAAGTAATAATTGGATTAGTTTTTATCTGTGGACAGAATATGTGAAGTAAAATTATCACTTACGTAGTGACGGTTAAGGCTCATTGCTGGACAAGTGTTGAAGATATTAGAGGACAGTCCGTAGACGACTCTAAAAGCTTTAAAGTAAAAGGAAAAAAATCTGAAAAACTACAGCAGTCGCCTGTGTAGTGTGTCACACCCTTATTACCGCATCTGCTTCGTGTTCAACTTTGAAAGATTGAAAGCGACTGAAGCGCTTCTGATGTGGCTTTTTCTCGGTTCGATTTCATTGCGCAATAAAGCGCATTCTACGCGGTACTGTTTAGCAAACGTCTAGTCCGCTGTGTTAAAGAGAAGTTACAACCGCCGATAGGTTAGACGACTTTAAATTTTAATGGCGGAGCGTTGAGATTTATCTCCGGATTATCTGTTGGTTTACTCGGTGAACGTGGCCAATGTGTGTTTTTGATTTTTCTTTCCACTCGGCCTCTGTCTTCTTGGAAACCACTTGTTACCTTATGTAGTAATACAAGTACTCGTTCCAAAAAAATTGCAAGCTCAGCAACTATTCAATTCGTTGTCAAGTTGTCGACATGCATGGGCTTCTATAACAAATGTAGGATCGCAAATTGCCAACCTTTAAAAGTGTGGGCCCAGTTACCTTACAAAAACGTAAACGCAAAAAAAATATTCCACTTTACGCCAGTTTTCTGCAAAGTTAGGTTAGGGAGTCAGCAAATTCCTGCAACAGTGGACCCTACCATAGATAAAAACTTACTCTAACTCCTTAAGACTTACTAATCGTAAATCATTTTTGTAAAATTTACTACTGACGTAAATCCAAATCTGCAAAAAAATAAAGCAGAAGATAAGAAACATTACAATGACATAAAATTAAAACAGACCATAGTTTAAAATACATAGTTACAACGATCAAGCAATGAAGTTATATATCATGTATCACCGCCTTTCAATCTGGAGTTATAAACGAAAGCAATTTAACTTGACGAGGGTTGTACAGTTATTAGAAACAGAATTCCGACTAAACTTTGACAGTTGTATAAAGCGGTGAGAATAGCGGAAGCACGTGGACTTTCTTACTTAGGGGAACAACTGTTGTCTACGAGTGATCACTTTAATTATGGATCACGGATTCGAATTCCAGTGGTTAAGTAGGAAACCCTTTCTACCTACCAATAATGCATTTTATTTTATTTTAACAAACTAACTCTACAGACTCGTGGTCCGTACTCTTTTTTGATTAACATGTTTTTTTTTTATTTTTCTTTTTGGGCCTGTCACCGCCGCGTATATCAACAGGGCTGCTAACGGTGCAGCAGTGACAACAATGCATTTCAAAGTAAAATGTCTTTATTCAATAGGCTTATTGAACGTCAAAACTACCACCGGCTAACTGCTAGCGGTGAAGAAGCGGAAAGAGATTGCGGTCTTGTTATCCTTTTTTTTTTTAAATAAGTGTACAAACTCATTAATGTATAACATCAGCAACAGCCAGGGGACTTGCAAGTGCAGAGCAAGAGTCAATTTCACACATCCTTTGCCTTGTGTATTCTTCGACATTTTGTTAGAACTTTTTTCTTTCCTTCCTTTTCCATTAAGGTAGCTTTATATTTTCTTGTCTCAGTCTCAGTTCTTTATCAAAATGTCTTTATACAATATAGGCTTATTGAATGTCAAAAAACTAACACCGGTTCACTAAACAAGACCTGCCCAGAGAAGAACCGGCACGAAATCTTGTCAACTCTGTGAAAAGTTATGTAACTAGTTCGATAACCATCTAATTTGCACTAATTTTGGTAACCTTATCAGAGATAATGTATGTGTCAGTGTAGATAAATCGATATAAAGGAAGGCAAGCAAACTGCATTAAAATAACTGTATATTCAGCTGTAAATACAAAAAGATATAATAAAAAAAGAAATGTTTTATATATAATAAATAAATAAATATATATATATATACATATATATAAATGAAATACGCTTACGAATACCTTAATGTTCTTTGTCCAAAGGCCTCCTAATCTATATGTATACCTAATATATTTTACAATTAATTTTGCCATTTTTTATTTACATTGACATTCATTGCATTACTCTTAAGATAAAATATTAGCCTCACTTGAAGTCAGTAAATTCCAAATTAACAAATGAAAGGAGTAAGAATTAGAAATTAAATTAAAAAAGAACATCTTGCCTAAACACCGCCACTGCTTTATCTTCGAGCGCAACAACTGAGAGAAAATTATTGCAGACCCAACTATTCATAAAGTTGTGTCTTGAAGAGTATAGAGGCGATGTCCGCTTATCTGCAATAAAGTCAAAATTGCAACTAAGAGGCGTGTGCAGAATAATAATATTCAGACGCGCTTGCAAAGCTTTTGGCTTCTCCGCTGGCGCTCGTACTCAAAACAAGTATTTAAGTGAGTCTCAGATAATTGTTCCGAATCTGACTGTTTCTTACCATGTACGATTATTGTCAGGCAAGGGCCCGTTGTAAGAAATCTGACTAATACCATTACCGACATAATACTCCTAATGTGCCTACCCCGCCTGGATGTGATAGGGGCACGAGAAAAGAAGATTACGTGGTTAGTGGATTCGTAAAATCGGGCTGAACCCCGGGGCAACAATAGATGTATGAATGTATTGTGATCACTGTGAACAGGGATAAATTATGAAGAAGCTTCAACAGTAGGCCCGATAGATCGGAAAAGTACCAAAACATCGAAGGAAATCTGTGTAATGTGAAAGTATTTATACTTTTGCGTTTCGTCCGGTGAATTTGTTAAGCCAGCATTCCTTTTCACAATAAGTGACATATCCGTGTCCTAAATTACTATCAATTTAACAGCTAGATAAGATACCATCTCTCTGAAATGAAATAAATGTACATATGTTATTCATTAGCTGCTCAATTGCTCGCAGCACCATGTTTAGGAATCAGTCTGCTCTAGAGCAAACACTTCCAAGCTCCTGGACACCGGGCGTCCGCTGTTTAAATCTGCGCACATTTCAATAAGTGGGACGTCGAAACGCTCCGGGGATTACTTAGCCGCCGTCCGCTGCGATAGCGTCGCCCCCGGCAACCGCTGTGTCCGTCAATCGATACCGCGTGGCAATTTGTCAAGTTCCCACGCGAGCGTTGGAGGTTGCGCCGCGCTCGCAGGAAACTAATGCGACTGTTTCGCAAGACCGGCTAGGTCTATGATTTACTTCGTGCATGCTCTGCGACCAGGATTAGTTACGGATCGGCGGATTACTCGTTGATGCCGAAGTCGTTGTCGAAACGATTTAGTTTGATATCGTCATCTCCTTGATCGTCATGAACACTTTCGTTATTAGGCTCAGCCTTACAATGTACATTTATTCCTATAAGCTTCTAAAGACCTCCGTAATCTACCTTTGTTTTTTGTATATAGATCAAAGAATCTTGAATTGGTTCATGTATAATAAATTATGAATATTTATCTATATCTGAAGTGGCAATAGATGTAAATTTAACATTGTTTGTGAATAAAAAGATTAGTGTGAGAAAAGCTTACATTTTTGATGTACCATAAATATCTCAGACAATATAGTCTTTAATAAAGGTGGTCTGCTGCTGAAATTTAAGATCTTGGTTAAAAAGAGTGATAAAAGATAACCTTCGTGTCTATCTTTTATCTCTGTTATGAGGATATTTTTTAACTCCGACAACTGTGTATAGAAAAATTTAAGCTATATGAATTTACTAGAAGCAAAATAGTCAAAAGCTGTTTTATGTACAGCATAAAACCAACAAATTTAACTTGTTAATATTTAATCCAAGGCAAAATTTGTGTTATAGCTGAACCATGGACGACCGCACGGTAGACCTCATCTTTGGCGGCTCCTTGAAGCTGTTGCCCCCAGTCAGCTCCAAGATCGTAAGGATATTCACCAGTTCAACGTTCACAGGTGATAGGTTTGATTTGATTTAATTTAACCTCTTGTTCCGAGAGACGTGATAACTCATTGTCCGGGCGCTCGCTTTAAATTCAATATACTCGAGCAACATGAGTTCGATCCCCGGTGCCAGTGGCAATGAAATTGATAATTTTCTGACTTATCACGTGCTCAGCGGTGAAGGAAAACTTCATGCAGAAACATGAATATTTTCAAAATATTAAAAAAATATTTCAATTTTGACGGTATATGAAGTCCGCTTATCCGCAGTGGGGCCGCGTGGTGAACTATGTCCTGATACCATCTGTACAGACGAGGCCTTTGTCCAGCAGTGGGACATGTATAGGCAGTTACTTTAATTTAACCTCTTATTAATTTAAAATCGATACCGCAACATTATCGTAGTATATTATATCGTCATTATCATCAATCGTAAGATGTCCGTTTATCCAAAAAAAATCTGTCTTATTCTGTATTTACAAAAATACTACACTTACTAGCACGTGTATGTTTATATTACCAAATATGGTAAATCACCGACATTAGTTACGAGTTACTGGCAAAGGGAACATTCGACCGCAATGACAATTACATTAAATGTCAGGTTTCACAATTTATCTTTGCGTCATTAAATATTTGTGATATATCTCATTAATATTTAATAAATATGAAAATTTATTGAAATATATAACATTTGTAATCACGTTTGTATTACAATAGTAATGCATACAGCAAGTAGCTCAAAAGTAGAAGTGGTGTTCCATCTATGACGTAATGATAACTTTACATGGCAGTGTTTAACCAACAATAAGGCAAGAGGCAGAGTTACGAACAGCGACCGCAGTCTCTAAACTTAATATTTCCCGGAGCCAGAAAGCTAAAGCGATAAACTTCCGTTCCGCATTTTACAATGTCCCCGCACAAACATCGACTTACTTGAAACTTTAGAACAGCGTTTAGCTTGCCCTTGGAGGCTGCTCGATGCTGTATAAAGTACACCTGTCGCCAGTTCATTTATGCGTGTTCTTTGAGGCCTTGGCATATTTTATGAATGGATACCGTTACCATACCCGTAGAGCAGATCAGACAAAACATGGTGACTTTTATCATGATTTATCATGTGATATGTATCATATTGACTTAACACCTAATTCCTCTTCGTGTATTCATTGGGTTTGCTGCCAAGCCTTGTGGAGGTTACTCAGTTATTTGAGTAACTAAGTGCTGCGTTATTCTACACCCCTCCACCACCTCATGCGCGAACATAGCGTGGGAGGATCTGCAAGGCAACTTTTAATTAATAACCATTATCAGATAGTAGGAGCGTTCGCCCGACGAAATTTAATTTACGGCAGCCATAATGGTGCCTTTTAGATATTCATAATGGATGGCAAATTAATAGATGTCTTAAACGGTACCTGTGTTCCGGTAATTTATCAATCGTCCTAAGGTTGTTTTAATATGAATCGACTTGTATTAGCTCCTAATTGAGTGATGTTCGACCTCATTAACGCAGTCGACGATGATGAATATACAGAACAACAGTTTTTCGTTAAAATGGTCAAATTAGTATTCAGAATGTTCACTTATGTTTGTTTCAGCCCCTTTGGCTGGATCACAGAGTCAAGACTCCTCTACTATGCAATGGAATAACTGTCCGAATTAATTTAATTGATAGTTAGAATTTTTAATTTTCAAAGATAAGGTCATCGTCTTTATTTATTTATTGTATGAAATATGAAAGGTTCTCTATTCAGTTGTACATATTCTTATGTTTGCCACCTAAGAATTCCGTCATTTATGAACCAATTATAATATTTTTAAGGGTTCCGTACCATACGGGTAAAATGGGACCCTATTACTAAGACTCCGCTTTCTGTATGTCTGTCATGTTATAGTTATACAGTTAAAATTTACAGAAATGTTGTATTTCTGTTGCCGCTGTAAAAACAAATCCTAAAAAACAATAAAAATATTTAAGTGGGGTCCCCATACAACACACATGATTTTTCATGGAGTTTTTATAGATAATGGTACGGAACCCTTCGTGCGCGAGCCCGACTCGCACTTGGCCAGGTTTTTGCATTGCGATCGGTTTAACATCCACGTGGTTCCATATTCACTCCATTGGAATCTTGTATTCCGAAAACACACCAAAAACACACGAAAACTCTTCAAAATCAAATTGAAACTGTATAGTGAGTGTGATATTTTAAGTCGCTTTTGTTTTCTGTTACTATTTTTCTTTATTAATAACAAAATATGCGTTAAATCAGTAAGCCGTTCTTTAGGAGCAACTAAAGTTTGAACACAGCACGCCGTGATATTACGTACGCTGCTGTTTAAGTAACCATTGGAATGCTATACGTCATTCGTGCTTAAGCCTTTAATGCTTAAAGCTGTTTTAATAAATATAAAAGTTTATGATCAAACATTTATTTTTAAACATAAATAGAAATATCGTACGTGTAAATTGTTATATGCGAACTTCCTCAATTTGTGGTTTTAAATTGGTAGAACTTCTTTATCTGCACAAATTTCTTCAACCCCGTACATTACAAAACAATCATGAATCGTATAACATTTAAATGGGCAGTGATCACTTTTAAGGCGTTGTGAACTAATTCTTTCTTTCTTTTTATTTTTTCCAAGTTATACTTCTGGCGCGTTTGGAAAAAAAATGAGAGTAAAGTTTCAACGATGTGCATGCAGTTGGTTGCAAGGCGACGCTGTTACCAACTTTTTGACATTTACTTACAATCCCAATTTATGTAGTTAAACTGTTATCAATTGCATTTAATGCCTTTTTCCCAAAGAGTGGATTAAATTGGGTCACAAGGGAATAAACTTTTAGTTATTTTTCTTTAATTACGCTAAAGTGGAGTAAAGAACGTGCGTAGATAAGTACACGCATACTTTTTTCCTATTTTTTTTTAGTCCGAAACAAACTCTTCAGTTGCAAGCTGATTGTTAATATGCATTTATTTGCGTATCAAACTTAAAATAAACATACTTAAAGCTCTCAAAAGCTCCTTACTGAAGCAAGATATCAAACACCCCAATCTGTATCTACCAATAAGGGAAAAATAACGAAACGTTAACAGTTTTAAAACTAAACTAGACACATCGAAATCCATAAAGTTATCTCATAAAACAAAGTGACGGCTCCGTGGCGCTGTTGCTAAGGTATTGGCTTCGTTAGCAGGGGTCGTGGGTTCGATTCCCCGGGACAAGTGTTTGTGTGTCCCATAGACAGTTGTTTCGCATCTGGTTGCCCACGTCTAATTTATGTTTGTAAAACGTCCTTACAACACAGGATAATGTTATCCTAAAGTAAGGGAAATGATTTAAAAAAAAAAGAAAGAAAGAAAGTCAACTTAATTAATAAAGGCAACAAACAATTCGAGAAGCCGCCTGAAGCGATCTGCATTATATTGTGAACGCTATAAAATAAACAAGCCGAGCAACTCGGCACGCGAACTGCAAACGACGCAGTGGTTTTCTATGCAGAAATTGCGGCGCAGAATACGGCATCGTCAAGTAACTAACGACTTTAATCAAAATGACCGAAGTTTGTATGATGAACTCTATTCGCAATGTTCACAGATGTAAGGTACACATAGTAACACTGTAAGGGTAGATGAAGATATCCTTACTAATATTATAAATGCGAAAGTAACTTTCTCTTTCTGTCTCGCTTTCACGCCAATTTAAATGAAATTTGGTACACAGATAGTCTAGAGCCTGAGAAAGGACATTTTTTATTTGGAAACGCTATTTTTTAATTGGAAATTTAAAAGAAAGATATTTATTTAAGGGCTTTAACGAGAGCGAAGCCGCTAGCGAAATCCTAGTTAAAAATAAAAGATCTGTTTTTATTTTTAAATTTAATCACGGCACAGCTTTATCTTTATTTTTAAATACGGCACAGCTAACAGCCTAAAGATCTATTTAAGTGGGTTCCGGTAACCTCACTCAGCAAACGAAACGTAGATACTGATACTAAGACGTACTTCCTCATCACCCCAGTCTTCTGTGAGGTCGTATTATTTCCCCGGACGGACCTGCCCATTCGTCCAACAGTGAGAAATTTCATATGTAAACGTACTTTATATATACCGTAGCCTCAAACCTTAGTTCGTTCACGGGGTGAAGAGGAACATGTAACCTTTTCGAGATTTACACAGAAACTTATAACTTTAAATTATATCCATTTGCTTTAAATTATGGTTCTTACCTCTTCACTTAAGACGAAACTTAAAATGTGTGGAGATAAAACTGCTGCAAATTTTTTTACCACCTCACCGCGCAAAAATCTCGACGTCTTATCCTATATTTTTTTATTGCACTTGTTATAAATACTTGACCATCTAATGTTGAAAACTAGAGACCTCGTTTCTGCTATTGAATTCTTTTAACTTATTATTATAGAATAACATTTAATAAATTTAAAGCAGTACAGTTTCCACTCAAATAAAATTGTGGCTAGCCATCAAGGACGCCGCATGAACTCTACACTCTAGGGAGCCGTTGTAGAAGACAGAAGTATTTGTACTTTCGCTATCTATTCCCTGTGGGAAACCAGAGATCAGCAATCTAAAAGAGCGTTGTCTAGGTTCACGAATGTCCTTGAGCGGAGTATCACTTACCATCAAGATAACCAATTGAAACTGTAGTGTAATCCTTGGTTAACATTTAATTTAGCTCTTTTTTTCTAGCTGCTGTCAATATAATAACTTTTGAATGTCGTTGTAATTAAGATACCATTTATTTTAAGTTACTTAAAATAAATTTTATCCTAATTATATGCAACCATTTACGTATATCTAAGCATGTTTTAATATATATCTTGTTGGTGAAGTAAATAAATAAATAAATATCCTAAATACTAGGTCACCGGTGAGTCTTTTTTATTACAATAATATGAACAGACTAAAGCCGTTGATTTCTATTGCATGCTTACATGCCATTTATAAGCGGCTTCTGTTTTTGATGAAACTGCCATTTATTTATATTCACTTTATTTGTGGTTCTTTTCACAGGCATTGTTTTTGTTACAACGAAGTTTTGGTTTAATATCCCACATTCATTTTATGTGCGTCGTAGGCTTTTTTTGAGCCCGATACATAAATTCGTTAATATAATCACTTACCCTTTAGCTTCCTTAGTTGTAACTCTAATACATATCTACAAGCATATATAACTTCTTCAAGCCATGATAGCTTGCTTTTAATTCATTATACTGGAGCGACCTGAGTTCAAGTGCCGTTCCTAACACCAAAAAAAGTGTTGGATTGATATTTCAACAAATGGGAACCTTATTAAGATTTCCGTATAAATTTACATCACACGATATCAAGACGATAATTTCGTTAACATCATTGATTTTCACTCACAACAGCAAATACGCATATTAATTCGACATAATAGTAATCGGATATAAATATTGCACATTTGGAAAGAGAAAATCGGCTAATCTAGTCACACGCTGCCTACACTGTTACTTCTTCGTGCGAGAGAGACAACGCTCTATAAACCGAAATCAGCTGATTGTCTCTTTCCAAAAGTAGTTGTCAAACATTTATCGCAGTGTGCTGTACGTGTGTTATACTAATAAATGTCGGTTGATGATGATGACTTGGTTGGCGCAGTACCTAAGCTTGGTTTCAGCGCTTGGTTATGGGTATCTCTGAATGCAAGGCAGACTTGCCTGTTGACTTATGTATGTATGTGTGTGATATTGAAGTCATAATCATATTCCCATCCAATTTTTCAGACACAACCATGGAAAGGAACACCTTAATGGCGAAATGCTACCCGCGCATCAAGGATTACTGTCGGGAGAAACACGGCCTGGAGTTTCAGGTGCGTTTATTTATTTATTAGTATAAGAAATACAGTTTCCAAAGATATATTAAGACGATACAAACATATACTTATAAGAGCTGATGTTTGAGGTAGTAGATACTTACTCATTTGCATATATTATTTTTTGGAAGGAAATCATATTAATTACCATCATCGTTTGACCGTACAAACAGATGGTCTCCACTATTTTTTTGGCATTTACCCAACAGTGGGATAAGTTAATACATATCCCACTGTTGGGTAAAGGCCTCCAATGTACAATGGAGGCCCTCTACACTCCGGGTATTAGGGCCCACGCGGTTCCACTGCAGATTCGCGGACTTAACATACATATCTTCAATTTTTTTTGTCATTATTTTGAAATTATGAAGGTTCCTCACAATGCTTTCCTCCACCGCTGAGTACGTGATAATTCAGCACTCAAAATTGACAATTCCATTGGCGAACGCACCGGGAATCGAACTTGAGTATATTAAGATTAAAGCGAGCGCCCGAACACTGTGCTATCACGGCTTTTATATCAATTTACTTACTCGAGAAAGTTTTTTCCCACCCGTTCAAGTAATATCTGACCTTTCCGTTATTGTACTAGCTTAATCCCTTGCGATCTTATCATATATAAACAACAAGCGTCAATTGAATGCCAACGAAAGGTGCGCTCGACCTACGATGTGACATTTTACTACTTATATAAACGACGGACCTGCCTACCGTTGCACGATCATAATTCGAACTAGGTATTGGCATTCGTACGAAATTGCTTTATCATCGACATTCCGGTAAACATCTTATACGCATTCTACCTCGTCTGTTCGTATTGTAGTCGAAAATAAATGAACTGCTATATACAAAGTATTTACTAGAGTACGAAATTTTTTTGTCAACTAAAATGATCGCTTCACATGATGTATAGCTAACACATTTCCAACGGCAGTGCGAATTCTTATCGCCAAGATTAATATGACTTAGAAACTTGCTTTTTTATGTTAGGAAGTGGGATGAAGGCAAGGAGTGTTAACGTTACGCAGGCGGTCGGTCCTAAAAATCATAGCCAAAACCAAGCGGTTGTAAGCCAACTTGATTCACATTTTATGCCGACCTCACCTAAGTGGGATAAGGGCAAGAGAATGATGATGATGATGCAAGGAGAAGGCCAATGAGTAGGTGGTTCACCTGATGTTAAGTAAATACTGCTGCCCATGAACATCTTCAACACTTGTGGGTTACCAAATACGTTGACAACCTTAAAAGCAGTGGGACCCGTACATGAAGAATACAAGGTAAAAAAGTTTATGACGTTCGGAAAGCCCAATTTTTGCTACAGCTACAATCCGCTAATAACGTATGTGATCACGTGCTCAGCGTCAAGGGAAAACATCGTGAGGATGACTGCATGTTTTCGAAATAATAACAATAAAAAATATTTCGAAGATATGAGAAGTCCGCCAATACGCGAACTGCGTGGTGGACTACCCTGATACCCTACACTACTATACAGAGGAGGCTTTGCTTTTTTTACCTATCATCATGATCATCATTTCTGCCTGTTTAAGTCCACAGTTGAACATGGACCACCCCCACACATAATTTTTACCTATTTGATTCCACAGTTGAACATGGGCCGGGCCACCTCCACAGACTGCCACCAAGCACGATCCTAAGCCACCCGCATCCATCTACCTATTCCCTATATAAAACGTCAAACCAGTGCCTTAATCTTGTTGCGGAACTTTATCGACACGGTGTTTCAACGAAGCTATTATTCAAAACTTTACAAGCGTCGCTATTCTCGGCTTATACTGACGCCATTCGGAGTTCCCACGGGATTACTCTAACTTCCTCGGCGTGGTTTATTTTGCGGTTCCGATGTCAATACAGCTTCGCGGTGATCCGGATTAGCTGCGGAACTGCCTTCCATGTATAATTGGTAAGGTACTTCCTATATGGGATAAAGTTCTGATTCATTCACATCGGTGGTAGGGCCACGCAGCAGCCTCGGCTGTTGCACGAGTGGGCAGGCTCGTCCGGGTAAGTACCACAACCTCATAGAAGACCGAGTGGAAGTATAATACTTTCGCGTTTCGTCTGGTGAGTGAGGTGACCGGAGCCCAATTTTCAAAAGGTTGTCAACGCATCTGCAACCCTCGGGTGTAGCAGATGTCCATGGGCGGCGATATTCACTTAACATCAGGTAAACCGTCTGCTCGCTTGGCAACTTTTCACATAAAAAAATAAACATTAGTTTTACAACACACCCTATTCCACGACGATATTCACATTAATTAATTGCTTGGTAATAGTTGCAAATTTTGGTTCAAGATTCCTATTCCTAGATTTGTGTAATTATAAATTTGTGGGAACGCGTTTTTCTTGTATTAATTGCTCCACTTTGATAAGCTGTCAATGACTTTAATATTAATATATTTAATGTTAAAGTCATAAACAATAAGAATGAGACAATAGGAAGAACCTAAGAAGAAGACCTAAGAAGTTGAAATGTCGTTGTACCGAAATGTGAAGCATTTCGGAGAATTCAAAGCCCTAGTTCGTTGTTCATAGTTTTCTTTAGATGAGACAGTTTTCCAGGAACGATTTAATTCAGGGCTGTGTATGATGTCCGATCAGTAGTCCTATGTTAGTAGCCCGCATTAAAATAATGACCCTTCCTCCTTGAATATAACTACTAACTACGAACATTTAGCAATTAAAGGGCATTAAATTCCTGTAATATAAAACATTCATTAATTTCATTTAATTCAACTGAAAAACACCCAATTCTGGTAACCACCAGACACTTTGTAACTATGATGCGCAAGACATAAAAAACAAATCAGATTGTATATTGATACACTTCGTTTCATCCTCTTTTATCTACGTATATGATTAATTGAAAGAAACGCCGAAATTTCCCCGAAATCGCCCCTCGGATTGGTTGCGGCGCCTTTCGTTCGGTTCGATTATTGTATTCATGGAAAAAAGTTCCTTTGAAATATTGAGAGATTATATTTAATGACCAGGATGCTACAGCAAAGAATGTAGAGAAAGATTTCTACCGGTTTTCACAATGTTTTAATATGGTTCCACTCCGTGGAATTGTATTAACTTAATGGAATTATATTTTTATTCAAATTCTGAAAGCGTAAAAAATACATCACACACTTTTTAGGGCTCCGTACCCAAAGAGGACCCTATTACTAAGACTCCATTGTCTGTCTGTCTGTCCGCTTGTCACCAGGATTTATCTCATGAACCGTGATAGTTAGACAGTTGGAATTTTTACAGATGATGTATTTCTGTTGCCGCTATGACTATGTGTTATACTGTTAAAGTGTTATACTGGAGCGTTTAGTCCGTTGGGTCCAATTTTTTAATGTTTGAACGCATCTGCAACCTGTCAGGTGTCGTAGAGTCTGTGGGTGACGAAAATCACTTAACATTAGGTGAACCGTCCACTCGTTTGCCAATTTTTAACATAACAAATATAAAAAATAATAAAAGAGAACCTTCAATCATCACATCCGGAGACAGAATTACCATATCATCGGTGGTAGGGCCAGGCGGCAGCCTCGGCTGTTGCACGAATGGGCAGGCCCGTCCGGATAAGTACCACAACCTCACAAAAGACCAGCGTAAAGTGGAAGTATGAAAAATACTTTCGCGTTTCGTCTGGTGAGTGAGGTAGCCGAAGCCCAATTTTCAAAAGGTTGTCAACGCATCTGTAACCCTCGGGTGTAGCAAAAGTCCATAGGCGGCGGTATTCACTTACCATCAGATGAACCGTCTGCTCGTTTGGCAAGTTTTCACATAAAAAAAATAAAAAAATAAACTTCAATGGATCCTTTTTTGTCTGGGTGCCTAACCTGGTCCTTCTGAGCTCGTGCCGTTGAAAGAGATAGTTTCGACATCGACTAAATTGTTCTACATTGTCAAATTCTGTATATATATACTAGCTGACCCAGCAAACGTTGTTTTGCCATATAAATTATTTATAGGGTAGAAAAAAAATCAAAACCGGTCAAGCCGTTTTGGAGGAGTATAAATACTAAAACGGTGAATTTTATATATTAGATCGAAATAATAATTTTATTTATAGTAAAAATTATTTATATTATTTAACTAATACTAACAAAATAATACGTTATCCACCAAATGAACCGAATAACACGATGGTGGTAACAACAATAAGTCTAGAAGTTCATTAGTTATTTGTTACATTATACTTTAATCGGTGTTTTAATTTTTATTCTTATCAGAATGATACTTCAGCTTCACGCCCGTTTTCTTTGAGGTCGTATTTCCCCAGACGAGCCTGCCGATTCGTGAAACTGCAGATGCAGTTGCGCGGCCCTACCACAGTAGTTTAGCAGTTTGCCGTTGTTAAACTCTTCCGTTTTTCGTGTTCACTTTCGCGATGCTCGAGTCCGCAAGCGGCATTTATGGAATGCACAATTATTGTTCCAAAATAACTGTTTGTTTATACTTCTTTATGCGGGGTCCGGCGCCCAGGTCCCGGGCGTGGTGTAAACATTTAGGGGAACACCCGGTGTGGCTATTTTGGTCGGCGGAAGTCGAGCCACGTGCACCGTCGCGCGCGGCTATTTCAAACGCCGCTTTCTTAGTTGCCAGTCAGTTTCAGAGGTCACAGAGGTCGACGTTATATGGTTACGGACTGCTAGCACTTGATGACTCCGTGGCGCAGTTGCCAAGGTATTGGCTTCGGCGTCGGGGTTCGATTCCCACACGGGACAACTATTTGTGTGACCCATAGACGGTTGTTTCGCATCTGGGTGTTTGTCCGCGTGAAATTTATGTTTGTAAAACGTCCTTACAACACAGGATAATGTTATCCTAAAGTAAGGGCAATGTTTAAAAAAAAATAAAGTACCTCCCGTGAGTGAATACTCCAGGGATCAGCTAACTTAAATTTTCTTAGTGCGGAATAAGGACGTCGGTGGATGCCGAAGTAATTTTTATTTCTTTTCGTGATTGACTTCAACGCTTTCGTTCTGATACCATATTAGAGTTCATCGGGCACAGAGTTAAAAAAAAAAAAAAAAACAAAAAAAAAAACAAAAAAAAACAAAAAAAAAAAAAAAAAACTTTTTTTTTTTATAGTGCTAATTTCTGGACTAAAGATTATAAAATTAAATTTTATTTTCTTATACTGCTAGTTTCTGCACTTAAGATTTTGAAATAAAATTTGTAGAAAAAGTACGAAAAGATTGTCGCCTGCTCACTTGGAAAGTTTTTACATAAAAAAAAATATTACAGTGCTAGTCACGCATTGAGGGAGGGCTTTGTACAGCAGTAGAAAACGCTGTAATGATGATGATAAGACAGTATGCACAGGGGTCAATGGCTGCTGCTATCGTTGGTTTTTCTCGTAGTTTCGGAAATGACAGAGATCTATTTACTGCGGTTTGTATCTATAAAGTATTCTAAATCTAATGGTTTTTAAAATATTTTCCTTTTTTATTTAATTATTCCAATGGAACCACGATAAAATATATATACTATGTCGTTTAATTGAAATGTATGTTATTTTTGTCAATGCAAGAAATTATTACGTATTTACTTTTGGTAAAAAAGGGCTGAGAAATATACTCGTATATGATGCATTGCACACTCGTTTTGCATCGAAATAATACGCCAAGTATTCACATTTTTTCTGATAAAGAATACACTTAAAAAGTTATTAAATGAAGTTACAAAATATAACTAAAATATACACACATTCGTATTAGTCTATCTTAGTTTTTTATTACGATATGTCATATAAACTTTTTATTATAAAAATTATTACAACTTTTTACCTTTTCAGCGTTCCGAACCCAAAGGGTAAAACGTGACCCTATCACTAAGACTCCGCTGTCTGTCTGTCTGTCCGTCTGTCACCAGGCTGTATCTCATGAACCGTGATAGTTAAAAGTTGAAATTTTCACTGATTATGTATTTCTGTTGCCGCTATAATAACAAATACTAAAAACAGGATAAAAATATTTGAATGAGCTCCCATATAACAGATATGATTTTACGTTTTGATAGATAACGGTACGGACCCTTTGTGCTCGAGTCCTTCTCGCACTTGGCCGGTTTTTTATGTTTTTTACCTTACAACTCCTTCATTTGATCAGACATTGGGTTCGATGTAGCTGTAGTACCTTATTAATTGCATTGGTGCATTAAATCGCTGACTCCAGAGCTGACTACTATAAATCAAATAGAAAATGTAATGAGTGATATATTTGACAGTCTTGTTTTTGTTAGTAAAAATGTACTTGTTTAAATAAAGGTCGTGGACATGCGTTGGGGTGTTAGAGATGAGGCCACCGATGACCACATGACCACGGAGCTTTGCATGCGCGAGATCAAGAATTGTCAGCGCCTCTCCATGGGACCCAATTTCGTGGTGTTCCTTGGCCAGAAGTATGGATACAGGTACTATAATTAAACTTACGAAACACTTTAATGTTTGAGCATGCCGACGGAACTTTGCATACACGAGATCAAGGATTGTCAGTACCTCGGTTTCCACTTTTGTGGCGTTCCTAGATCACAATTATAGATACATACAATGATAAATATTTAAACACCGTAATATGTCATGACACTTTCTTTTTACACAATTTTTTTTAAACTTTGACCTTACTGTATAGCACTATCTTGTTTTGTAAGGACGTTTTACAAACACTTTCGCGTCGGAAGTACAAAAATCTAATAAAACGCGGGAAATAGGTTCATTCCGAAAAGCCTAAAAAAAATCTAATTTGCCTCTTGTTATAGGCCAATCCCAACCTACGTGTTATCTTCTGAACTTCAAATGCTGAGGGATGAGTTGGCAGCGGGTGGTGTTGACGTCATTCTGCTAGACACATGGTACAAAAAGGATTCGAACGCTGTACCACCGGTGTCAGTTTTGCAGCCGATATCCTCCATACTCGTCAACTTCAACAACAAGGTGAGTTGTTTTAAAAAGTAGTAAGTATGTGGGTATAATTTAACTGTGGATATAATTTTTTATATATAATTGTGGGTATAATTTTTCCTTGGAGTAAATGAGCAAGTTTGAAAATATTTAAAATTGCTTGGATTTTTGATGTGTTACTTGAACGATAGTTTCTTTTTTATTTTTTGTTGGAACCTTCGGGATCTTAAGGTGATCCATATTCAATATTTGGTCTGTTTTTAAGTATTGTTATTGTGAAGAAGATTTATACAATTGAGAATACAGTAGATTAATGTAATCTCCATGTAGTAAACCTCTTTAAACATTTTATTGTCAATAAATTATTATTATTTTTTCTCTTTATTTTTAAAGAGGACCTTACGTTTACCTTTACAGATTATGCCACCCTCATAGGGTTAACAAAATTACAAAAAAAAAAACAACAAAATAGGCTTAATAAATTATTTAAGACGAAATGAGATCGACACAAAAAAATATTAAGCCCACATTGGTTCTATACCTATAACTATAATTATCGTAGGCGAAAGAATGACAGGATAAGGCAGCAAAAGAAATTTCTTGCAAATATTGTTGACTTGTCGAAATACAGGTGATTTTATTTTCCAGAGGGTACCGAAACTCCAAGCGGAGGACCAGGCAGTATGGTGGGACACGCTGGGCAAAATGCAGAAGCTGTTCCGCAAGGCGTCACAGCAGCTGTACAACGCTGGCAAAATCGACAAGGACACAATGCACAACTACTTCATGTCCGGTAAAAGAAGAAAGTTCAAAAAAATGGAAGTTGTTACTCTCAAACGCTGACTTAAGCAAAAAGTTTGCTCCCGTTGCATAGGAACTGTTGAGACTGACTAAGCTGAGGCAAGGGGTCAAGTACAATCTTTTTTATTAGGGTTCCGTGCTAAAAGGGTAAAACGGGACCCTATTACTAAGACTTCGCTGTCTGTCCGTCTGTCACCAGGCTGTATGTATCTCATGAACCGTGATAGTTAAACGGTTGTAATTTTCAAAAATGAACAAGAAATACAAAAAATGGGGCTCCCATACAACAGGCATGATTTTTGCCGTTTTTATAATGTTACGGAACCTCTCGTGAGTGAGTCCGACTCGCACTTGGCCGGTGTTTTTTAAATCCTATGGGCCAATATCTCAGAGTAAAAGTATGGTAAGTAGTAGTTGTCTATGGCCCTATTCAAATGGTAAAAACACTTATAGAGTTGATTTATTTTTACTAAGTCTTCCAAAATGTTTTAAATCAGAAACATGTTTGTTGTACAGCATTTCTGTGTCAAAAAATCGTTCGATTTTTTTTGAAATCTGAACAAATGCAGTAGGTCACCGCAACAGTATTCCCTGTCGCATTAATCGGCATGTCGGAGTAAGTACTACGACCTGACAGACGATCGGCGTGAAGTGGAACTGTTATACTTCTGCGTTTCGTCTGGTGATTGAGGTAGTCGGGCCATTTTATTGTAAGGTGGCAACGAATCTGCAACCATACAGTGTTGCAAATGTCAATGGGCGTTGGTTATCATTAACATTAGGTGAACTTTAAACTTTCTTTGCCACCTTCTCGCATAAAAAAGAAAAAAATCATAAAATATCACATATTATAAAACAAAATCGTCCCGCTGTCTGTCTGTCCCTTTGTATGCTTAGATATTTAAAACTACGCAGCGGATCTTGATGCGGTTTTTTTTACTAAATAGTGATTCAAGAGGAAGGTTTATATGTGTAATACATTGCAACCGTGGAAGCCGGGGCAGGTCGCTAGTATTTTATAAAATTAATTCTAAAGCTTCATAAACAATTTCAGTTACCGAACGTGAAGTTATCAACGGAATCCTGAACGTTAAAAACACCAAGAACCACTGTCTGGCCTACGTGCGATATATCAACAATATCAACCTTCAGAACCTGAAAAAGGCCAGCAACTTCGTGGACATACTGAACAGAAGCTTGGACGCCGAAGCATCCAAGCTATTAACTGATCTGAGGGACGTCAGGCTACCGGAAAAAATCGAGACTACAAACATACAGAAGTATTACATAATTTTCAATCATTGTACTTCAACAATTTTACGATTTGTCGTGACATTTTTTGTTGACAATGAGTTAAATTCATTTTGTTATATGAAAATATTTCATGGATTCGGTCAACAAAAATTTCTAATATGAAAAAAAATCTGTAAGATATTAACATTAAAAATATGAAGAACTCGCTTTAAAAAATCTTGTGTGTATATCATTCAAACACTAATTAGATTACGTAGAGGAATCTGAGTAAAATACTTTCTTAAGAAACTAACGGGTAAATAGTTTCTTTTTATATTATATACAAATTTAATTGTTTTATGTATTTATTATTTATTATGTATTCATTATTACTTCAGGTATACAGTTGAATGGATTGGCCGAGACGGACTTGACACGGAGACCCATGGAGAATACCTAAATCACTTCATTGCGCACTTCTACAAAAACATTATTAAACTCGTTGATAGGTTGGTAAGCGACCAAATTTTGGTTTTATCAGAAGCTGACACCATTCTATATTTAACTGCACCAGCTTCGGCTGTTGCACGAATGGGCAGGTTCGTCCGGGTAAGTACCAAGACCTTACAGAACCGGTGGGACGTGGAAATGTTATACTTCTGCGTTTCATCTGGTAATTGAGGTAGGCGGGGCCCGCTTAGGTAGGGTAAGGTAGCAACGCATCTGCAGCCGTACGGGTGTTGCAAATGTCCATGGCCGAAGCGAATCGCCTAACATCAGGTGAACCGCCAGCACACTCGCCATCTTCTAATATAAAAAAAAATCGATTTTATCAGACAAAAATTTTACCTAACCTTTTATTACGAATCATTAATACATTGATCGTAGGTATGTCATATTTATTGGCTATTTATAGGGCGATGCGTAAAGAAGACAGCAGTGCTCAGGGTCAAATCGTTACTGAGATTCTGCAGCATTTGCACGCGTGCAATAACTCTGTCAAAGTCTTCCACGGCAGGGAGGACGATTTGCTGTTTATCGAAAATTACATGAAGAATAATTCGGACAAGCCTTTGGTTCTATATGGCGAAGGTACTAACGACTTAAATTTTTAGTTAAATCATATAAACATAACTTTATACATGTAAAATAAAAAAATGCGATGGGGTTCGTTAGATAATCATATATCTTATATCATATTATATCCTTTTACTTAACTATGAATGTACGAACGGCTTACGTGGTAAGAAAAGAACAGTCCGAAAATAATTAAAATAAGGAATTATTTATAATCAGTTCCATGGCTCACTAGTTTATTAAGACAAATGGCAAATTTTAATTCTTTTTTAATTTTCGTTTTGTATTTCTCACAATATTTACGTTAGTGGCAAGACAAGATTTAAAAGAAAAATAACTTACAACCATGTTAAGATGGCTTGGGATTCTTGAGTTATATGATTATCGATCCTTTAAATAATAAATAAATAAATATTTTAGGACACATTTTACACAACATTTTCTAGTCCCAAACTAAACAATGCTTGTACTATGGGTACTAGAAAACTGATAAACATACTTAAACATACTTTTCTTTTGTAAATAAATACATATTATACATATATAAACACCCAGACACTAGAAAAACACTATGTTCATCACACAATATTTTTCCAGTAGTGGGGATCGAACCCATTCCGCCATTCGGGTCGTCAAAATTTATCATTATCATATCATATCATTATGCTTAGTAGTAATACTATTAACATAAGTATACCCCCAGGTGGATGTGGAAAAACCAGTCTTCTAGCAAAGAGTTCAGCGATGTCGCTGGAGACTTGGTTCGCCGAGGTGCGGCCAACGAACGTGATCAGGTTTCTGGGTACTACTCCAGATTCAAGCGCCCTTACTCCTACGCTAATATCTATCTGTCAGCAGGTATGAAAAAATTACAGTCTATTCCTATAGTTCTGACTACTAGGTTAACGCCACCCCTATACAGTGATTACTAGATCATCTAGTCAAAGACGTGTTATTGATTATTTAATCTCAAATATCATCTTTCTTTTTCTCATCGATCCGGTTATCAACGAAGTTTAAATCCCCAAAGTATAATTAGAAATTGACACAATACATTTCATTAAATTAGCGTGATTTATTATTATATAGTTTATTGTTCTCAATCTTTGCTCACTACCATGCTGAGTGTTGTATTGAGTATAAATAAAAATGTATTGTTGTTTAAAAGTCTCAATGACTCAAAATGAATCTTTACAGATATCGTACAACTTCGCACTTCCCTTTGAGAGTATACCGGATGACCTTGTACCACTGACAGCACATTTCAAGCAGCTGTTGACTATGGCCACCCAGCAACAGCCTCTTCTCTTGTTCTTAGACTCTGTAGATCAGCTTACAGGTATAGGCACCGAAAACAACAAAGTCTCGTGGCTGCCGACGAGATTACCTCCCCATTGCAAGGTAATCTTAAACCTCCTTCAGCCTTAAATAAAGTAAAAATAGATAAACAAATGATTTTTTTTTCTTTTTGTTTTTATAAAACATTACCCTTACTTTAGGATAACATTATCCTGTGTTGTAAGGACATTTTACAAACATAAATTTCACGCGGACAACACCCAGATGCGAAACAACTATCTGTGGGCCACACAAATAGTTGTCCCGTGTGGGAATCGAACCCACGACCCCCGACGCCGAATCCAATACCTTGGCAACTGCGCCACGGAGTCATCATATTTGGTCACGTATCTCTCATTTAGAAGAAATTTGGACATTTTTTGAGGCAGACTGAGTTGTACTCATTCCTCATACTGCATGTTCCTCATACTGCACGTAAAGTTCAGTTATTCCCTTGACAATTTTTGCAAACTGTAAAAAATGTCGGGAATTCCAAATGAAATTTAACGCGATACCATCCGTAACACAGTTTTTTCCGAATCATTCTAAAAAGTATTTTTCAAAGAATTAAAAGGTCCATCACCTACCATGGTGGCACCATTTATTTCTTGCATATTAACCGGTTCAATGTTGGCTGGCTTTGTTTGTTCTTCTTTTTCTTAACTTTCAACTTTTGCAACAAAGTTCGTTTAGAAAAGTGAAAATTTCTTTTTTATTCAGATCATTGTAACTTGCGCTTGCGAAGAAGCCAATACGGAGGTTTCAAAAGAGTACGACGTACTGCGAAGAATGATCGATTCAGAAGAAAACTTTCTTGAGGTTAAGGCTTTGGGCGAAGACTTAGCTATGCAAGTTCTAAAGTAAGTATTTTTCGTATATAATTATGTTGATGTACTTTCAAGAGTGTATTTTCTTTTACACATACACATTTTGCCTACGATCTGGCTGGTGACAATTTCGTTCGAGAAGATCATTACATAAAAAAAATAATTTTTAAAATATAAAAACAAGATGTACCTCGTAATTACCTACTTATATTATTAAACGGTTTTATTTAGCTCGACACGTACGGAATTTGTTTATTTATTTGGGTCAAAATTAGAAATTGAAATTGGTACACACATTTAATTTAGATGACAATACAATATTGTAGTTTTCAGTGCACAAAAAAAATACATAAAATAAAACCGTTTAACTTAAAAGTTTTTAAACGGTTTTATTCAATAAGATGATTCAAGCGAGAAGAAAAGTCGTTAGAGAACCCTCGTTAATCCGTATCAAATAAATAGACGATATATTAGAGGAAGCTTGTTTATGTGCGGTGTAGAAAATACCCGTCACCGACGCAGGACACACAAATATGCAGATGTATGCGTGTGTTTGGATGTGTAAAAAATTAAAGAGCTGTGGCTGTGATTCTTTTGTGGATATGCGTATTATTATTAATAATTATAAAAGCTAATGATATTGTTTTAAGGTTATGGATGGCATCCGCGGCTAGGGACTTATCGAATTACCAGTGGCGTTTAGTATCCAACGCTATTGGACAGTGCTCTCTGCCAATATTCGTTAAACTGGTTTTTGCCGAGGTAAGCTGAGACATATGCAATGTGGTATTAAATCACTTTGACAACATATCATTCTGGATACATTAATATTAAGAAAAATTCAAATATCTAAATTGGTACAGAATCAATAGATATAAAATGAAAATCACGAACTGTCCGATGGTCTCATCATATTGCCGACAGAATGCATTTGACATTTGTAACTATAAAAATTCCTTTATAAAGCTGTAAGAATGAATAAATTCTCTCCTTAAAAAATGAAAGTAAGTGACATCAGGTTTATTTAAAATTCAATTCTTAAATCAACGTCAATAGAGAGTAGGGCAAAAGCTAGTATAAAGTTCAATTGTGTTAAATTATATACTTAGTTATCATTGCCATTCAGGACGCGTAATGCCAGCATAATAACATTCTTATGAGTACTGTTTTTGGAGGAGGTCTATATCCAGCAGTGGATTAAAAGAAGCTGAAACAATGTTGATGATAAATTACTGTTTCTTCCAAAATTCAAAGAAAAACTTTGAAATTGTTACGTCATTCCATTTTGTTAAAAAGAAGTTTGTCACAGGTTTGCAGATGGAGGAGTTACACCAAACCCCAGGACACCCATCTCGCCTCTACCGTTATGGATTCCATTATGATGCTATTCGAGAGAATAGAGAAGCAGGTATATTTGTGTGTTTACCAGTTCGCCCTCAGATACAGAGCAAGTCCTGCCAGTTTGCCTCTGTGGGGTTAACAGGCAGGAATTGTTCTTTGTATAAAGTTAAAAATCTCAGCTATGTATCTCAGTTTTCTCAATATCAGAAGTGATGGTATTTAAGCACCCAAAAACAAAAAGGGATTTAATTGTAAATAATAAATATCAAATGAGCCGTGATAACTCAGTATCTTGTATCTTGTATTAACTGATGTTTTTGCTTTCAGTCCCGAGACTATTAAAGCTTCATCGGACGCAGAACCGGTGGGCTAGCCAGAACCCACGGGTTTGGACCCTCCGCTATGGGTAGGGTCGCGCATGTGCTCATGCGTGCGTTTAACTACTATGGTGTGTCATCTAAGGGCCGTCGAGGTCGCCGGTTCGGACCGAGACCCCGACGGCCGTCGACTGTGCATTTAGCTAATCGGTGGCTGGGAGCGGTGAGAACCGCCCCGGAACGCGGGTGTACCTTCTGTACGCGTTGTGTGGGTCTCGCCGTGCTCGGAGGCGAGGGCGAACTGGTGTGATTGTTGTTACACTAACTGTGGGTGTAGTGTTATCTGGCGGGACCCCCGGCGGTGGGTCCATAGTATCTAAGTCCTCTTCGTCGACCGGGTCGATGAGGACGGTTCGCGGGCGACGCTTGTTTACGTTCGCGTTTGTGTCCGGTTGGTAGTTTACCACCAGAGGGTTGGGATGATGCTGGGCTCTATCGAAGAACCGTTTTGTCAAATCTTTAAAATGTGCGCGAATCGTCGGGAGTCTGCAATCGCATTGCAGGTCGACGTTGCGCTGATACCATTGCGCACCGGTTGCGCGGCGGATAAACTTACTTTGAACTACTTGCAATTTGTTAATGCGCGTAGGATTTATATGTGCGAAGATCATGCAAGCGTAGGACATGATTGGCCTTACGCAAGCTTTATATAACAGTAGTTTTGTGCCTTAAGGGCATTTTACTTTGCTTATTCGTTAAATTGTGTAGCCGGCCGGAGACGAACGCGGCTTTATTTCGGACTTGATTGATGTGCGTCGTGAAAGTCATACGCGAGTCGAAAGTGACTCCTAAATATTTGACCGTTTTCTCCCAGGGGAGAGTTTGGCCGTATAGTGATATTTGCCCCAACTTTCTGTACTGGCGAGGACCTTTGTAACGGTGTGGCGGATGGGGGTTGGGGGGTGCTACGAGTAAAGTGAATCGCCACACTTTTTTCTGGATTAATATCGATTCTCCATTTGCGGAACCAATCGCCGAGGTGGTCGGCGGCGCTTTGAATTCGAGTTGTTAATTGACTGAGGTTGCGATCTGAGTAAAAGAGCGCCGTGTCATCCGCGAAAAGCGCGAGATTGACGTGGGGGTCTCTAGGTATGTCGCTCGTGTAGAGCGTAAATAGCAAGGGTGAGAGGCAGGAGCCTTGTGGTACGCCGGCCGTGAGGCGGCGGCTTGTAGAGAGGGTGCCCTCGACTCGATATCGAAAAGAGCGGTTCAAGAAAAAGGCCCGGATGGTGTGTACGAGCCTATCTGGCACTTTGAGTGTGTACAGCTTGTAAAGCAAGCCGTTGTGCCAGACTTTGTCGAATGCTTTTGCGACATCGAAGAAGAGAGCCCCTGTACTGATGTGTTTGGGGTGGTTAAGGCCTTTTAGGATGTGCTCCGTTAGGCGGTATAGCTGATCGGGACGATAACTCAGTGTCCGGGCGCTCGCCTTTAATTCAATATACTCGAGCAACCTGCGTTCTATCCCCGGTGCCAGCACCAATGAAGTTTATAACTTTAAGTGCTGACTTATCACGTGCTCCGCGATGAAGGAAAACATCGTGAGGAAACCTGCATATTTTCGAAATAATAACAAAAAAAATATATTTCGAAGATATGTGAAGTCCGCCAACCCGCAGTGGGGCCGCGTGGTGGACTATGCCCTGATACCCTCTGTATAGAGGAGGCCTTTTCCCAGCAGTGGGACATGTATGGGCTGTTACTTTACTCTACTTTACTTTACTAATTTCAAAGTCGCTCAACGAACTATGGTACGGGCTATACTCGGTATTTCTCAGTTCGCGGTGACGACACAGTAGAACAAAGGTAACAGACATAGCTCAGAAGGTTAATAAACCGAAGTAGCGATGGACCGGCCATACTAGCAGAACCGATAACCGTTGGGGAAGAAAGGCTCTCGAGTGGCAGTCTCGTACTGGCCATCGCAGCGTGGAACGACCCTCCAATAGATGGAGTGACGATCTGTGCAAATGTGCGGGAAGTTGATGGATACAGTGGCTCAGGATCGTGCTTCGTGGCGATCTGTGGAGGAGGTCTATTTTCAGCAGTGGACTCAAACAGACTGAAATAATGATAATGATGAATAAGTATGCTTGATGAATCTAAACTTCAATGTCTACTTAAAGTAGAGCTATAGTTATAGTAGTCTATAAAACATTTAAAAGGTTGTTGTAGGTGGCAATTTCATCGAAAACCATCTATAAAATTTCTATTAAAGTATTTAACTCATTCTTTTTAGCACGGCCGGCTCTTGGTATTTCACGCTTTGGCCTACATAACAGCGGCGCGAAGTGGCCTATCCGAGACGGAATTGGAGGATCTGATTTCACTGGACGACAAGGTTCTCGACGATGTTTACCAGTATCACTTGCCGCCCGTCAGGAGGATTCCACCTTTGTTGTGGACAAGGTATATTGAATTATCCGATGACTCGTTAACGGTAGCATTTACATTTGTACGATAGTTACGAATAGAACCGAATCTATAGATTTATAATATATCATAATGTCATCTATTTACATTAATATTAAGTAAAAGATAACAAAGTAGACTGAATTTTACCATTAAGAATAAGAATATGTTTGATAAATAATTAATGGAACAATCATAATTAAGACGACCCGATTGGCGTGGAGAGTAGTGACCCTGTCTTCTGCGCCAGAGGGTGTGAGTTCGATCCCCACTACTGGAAAAATGTTGAGTGATGAACATCTCATATATATGTATAATATGTATTTATTTATCAAGTTTATCAGTTTTCTAGTACCCATAGTACAAGCGATGCTTAGTTTGGGATTAGAGAACGTTGTGTAAAAAATGTTTGCGAAAATATTTATATTTATTATATTACCATACGGTAAATTGGTCAACTAGTTAAATATTATATTAAACATACAATTGACATATCATTTATTAAAAAGCATTTGGCAGAAATATTGTATCACGATATTTAAACGTTCTTGTCATTATCACATTAACGCATGCATATATATTTGATAATACTAATTTGATATTACTCAAAAAAATCCTGCTGGTAAAATAATTATTGGAATTATTACAGGACTTTCAGAGTTTGCACATTAAAAAAACATAATAGAATCATTTAAGAGACATATTCATTATTTATACTAGTCGTTTTTATTAATATTGATTATTTTGAGAACAACGAGGTAATAAGATGACGCTATCGATTAAATAACAACATTGGTTGAAAAATCTGTTTAAGCGCTGACTCTTTTACGCCAACAAGACAGGCTGTAACACTTTATTATAATGATCAATTAATTATATGCAATTACGATTCCTTTTGATTTGGAATATTTCCTGCGTCACTTACTTACATTCAAATAAATCAACTACTTTTTAGGGTTGCGTACCCAAGGAGTAAAACGGGACGCTATTACTAAGACCGTTGTCTGTCTGTCTGCTGTATCTCATGAACTGTTATATTTAGCCAGTTGAAACTTTAACAAATGATGCATTTCTGTTGCCGCTACCACATCAAATACTTAAAAAAATAGAATAAAAAATATTTAGGTGGGGTTACCATACAAGACGGCAAAAAATCTTTACTTTTTGACGGAACCCGAGTGCGCGAGTACAACTCGCACTCGGTCGGTATTTTTCTTCAAACCCCCGAAAAAAGTTCTGGTGGGAGGTGAAATAGGATGCCTGTTTAAAGATGAGCTCTTAATATTAATATTCAGGGTTTCCCTTATCATAATTTTCTATTTCTCAAATAACACGGATATTTGAACTTTGGAACTTGGACGAATGAATGGATTGTAATACCGGTATATATTTTTGTATAGAAATACAAAAATATAATAAAAAAATCTCATCATTTTTGGATAAATCTACCGGTACAAAAGTTATTTTAGCTTGAAATATAAGTTATCGTAAATTTTAATTGTCAAAATTATAATACTTATCACAGCGTCATAAAAACTTTATCTTTAATTATTTGATTTACTACGTAATGATTTCATTCAAGAATTTTTAAATCTAATATAAGAGTTATAGTTTTTACAAATTAATTTTTTGGAGAGATCGCTATTTTTGTGAATATCATTTAACTATACAATTTTTTTCTATTGTATTGAAAACAGTTGTCTGTTGCTCAAATAATTACAAAAATCTTTCAAAATCGAACTAACTGAAATTATTAAATGATTTTTTACATTCAAAATTATCTATGCAGATTATTATATAAGAATATACGCTGTATGCATCTTTCCATGATATAAAGCATGGCGTCACAACCGCGACGATAAATGAACACACTTCTAACGCTACTTGGCAATTATCATAAAAATATACACGTTAAAAATAATCGATAATTAAAAAAAATTATTCTCAAAAAACTAATCAAGATACAAAATTTGTAACATCCTATACATCTACAACTGACTGATTCATACGTTCAGAAACTTTTTCATTCGTTGCCACAACGTCGCATCACAAGTCTTTCCTTCTAACAGTATGTTTTATCTCTTTTAAATTCATTCAACTAATTCATATGCTTAGTGACCTTTTCAAATGAACTTTATGTTACAGTTTTATACGTAAGGATGTTCTAAAATTATTTGTTTTAAAAAAATTAATAACTCGTAAATATTCAGGTTTAAAGAAAGTGAATGTTTAATTTCAAAAAGTCGTCCTCTATATGTGTGCTTATTTAATGTCGCGTTAGTAGCGCCACGCTGTGTAGTATGGTTAAGCTGTGCAGAATCTATAAAACTAGTAGAAGTTGAAACAGTTTTTGTAGAATGGCCAAACATTTCCAGGATTCGCAACGACCTGCCCAACTACCTGTCGGAGCGCGAGGCGGACGGGGTGTCCGTGATGAATTGGTACCACAGACAGTTCAGGGATACAGCGCGGGAACGCTACTTCAAGAATATGAACATGGCTATGTACTTCCACTCGATGATCGCCGACTATTACCTGGGTACGGTATGACTATGATATGAGTGACTTTCCCATGTGGAAAGGTGGCAAACGAGCTTGCGGTCCAAATGATGTTAAGTGATAACCACCACCCATGGATGTTTGCAACACGTAGGGTTGCAGATAGCCCTATAGTCTCGGGCTCATAGAATAGGGCTAAGGTATCCCCTGCCTGTCGTAAAAGGTGACTAAAAGGACACGGATGGGCAGCAGCACGAAGTGGTCTCGTGCTGCTTCAAGAGGATGAGGGAATCGGAGAAGGTTTATCCTTCTCCGAGGCGTGCTCAGGCGTAGTACCGAGGGACACCGGTGCGTTCCATGGGAGATCCCGGAGTCCCTCCAAATGTACGGAAGGCGGCCACCGAGGGGGTTTCAGTAGGTAAGAACCCCACATAACCCTGTCATATAAAGTGACAGGGTATCTTTCGAAGATTTCCCCCCCGATATCAAAAAAAAGGGTTGCAGATGCATTGCCACCTTTTAATAAAGTTCGTAACTCACTCACCAGACGAAACGTAGAAGTGTAACACTCCCATTTCAAGCCGGTCTTCTTTGAGGTCGTGGTATTTACACGGACGGACCTGCTCATTCGTGCAATAGAAAAGACAGTTTCGTACATTATGGCCCTATCAAAATGATGGTAAGTGATATGATTGAGATATCGACGTTTTAACTAAGAATAATGGGCTAAAAATATTAAACCTCTTAATTTGGGCTAGTCTCTGCTCTCAAAATGAAACTAAAAAATAATATTGTACATAGTAACAGCCTATAAATGTCCCACTGCAGGGCAAAGGCCTCCTCTGTTGAAGGTATTGCGGCATAGTCCTCCACGACCTCACTGCAAAATGTGCGGACTTCTCATATCTTCGAAATATTTTTTTTGTTATTATTTCTGAGTTATGCAGGTTTCCTCACGAAATTTTCCTTCACCGCATAGCGCATGATAAGTGAGCTAATTATTTTTCAGGTATATGGGGCGGAGGAATACCAAAGCCGTTTAAATATACGGAGATTCAGCGTCACCGCTTCAACCTGGCTGACAAGGAAGGCGTTGCCGACAGAAAAGTGCCCCTACAGCCTCTGGTGTTCACATCCGCAGACGGTTCTTCGAAACGATACAATCTCAGAAAGGTAAATGCTTGTACACATCGAGATTTTAATGTAACAGTAAAATCAATATTATCATACCACACTAAAGAGTTGCAAAATGGTATATAATTTATGTACGCACGTTCTTACATCTTTACTAACTAAGAAGTTATGTACTTATTTAGCTTAAAGACAAAAAATGCAATTGATAACGGTTTGTTTACATAACTTGGAATTAAATGTCAAAAAGTTGTTATTGGTTGCCAAAATTAAATTAGTTACCAAGCATCATGTCGCCTTTTGAGGGTCGGTGTTCGCGAGCGTCATAAAATTTTTCCAAACGCGACAGAAAAAGAATAACTTCAAAAAGTAGTCTATTGACTTTATTTGTTTTAACTTCGACATTAGATTGGGAAAAAAAAATAATGCCATAACTGTTGAGCGATTGAGAAATGTTGTCTGAAAAAGAAAAGAAATTTCAGGTTAGAGACGAGGCTTTAGATAAAATATTAAAACGAATTATCACTAACTGATTTATCTTTTGAAAGTGAACATGTGGATAGTTGTGTATTGACATAATATCTGTAGTTAAAAAAAGGAATACATGAGTTAAGTTTACGATTGCTCGAAAGTACTGCTTGCCATCTCTTTAAAAACCTTTCGTTAACTGTAACGCTGTATTACTTTTGTATTAAAGTTAATGAGTGACTATTCTCTTGATAAAAGTCTTACTTTTTCCTACGAATTTTAATGTTTCACCTTAAGTGCAGAGATATGCACTATAAAAATTTAAATCTCAAATAGCAAGTGCGATATCTCTTGTTCGAATTATCGTTGAAATCCGATATTTCAAATTGTTTATTTGTTGTCAAGTGTTAAACAATAGATGCGCCAAGCAATACTTAAATTCGGAAAAACAATGTAGATAAAATATGTTGGGAGTTTTGTCTGTATGGCAATCAGCCGTTTACTTGGTTAAAGCGGTTAGGCGTGTATCCGAAAGACGTGTTCGTTGAAAATTTGATTCACGCTGCCGCGAAAACTTTTCGTCCATTTCCGACATATTTACGTGTATAAAAGATCATGACACGCTTCAACTAAGTGGTTTAAATATTTATTTACATTGTTTTTTTAATACAATGAGCTTCATTTAATATCATTAATTGCAGTTAGTAAGTAATTCCCAGTACGTGCTTCAAGATAACAGACATAGATGATACCGCTAATTACATTCCGTAAAATTTTCTAATTAAATTTGATTATACTACAGCTTTTGTTATTTAATAAACTTGATTTAAGGCGGCCTTTTTTGAAAATTGTGGCTTCTGGCATTTATAGACTTCCTATAAATGCCAGAAGCCACAATTGTCAAAAGTCATAACTTTGGTCATTTATTCCAATTTTTATTTGAACAATGTCAATATTTTAATATGTTGTAATTAACCTATATATTTATATTATTACGTATATATTTATGTATTTTTCTTATCATCCCGATATTGTAGGAATTAGCAGCCGCAAGTTTTGACCCCGCCATCACTTTTGAGTTTTGATCATCTCTTAGTAGTCCTTTTTTAAACGTACCTACTGTAAGATAAGATAATCTTGTATTTTGCAGGTACCAATTAAAAAAGGACAATCTATGAGATACGGGACGATTCCCTGGTTGTCTCATACAAATGCTTGTCCCTGGAACCGATCGCTCGACCCACAGTACCATATTCTTCAACTTATCAACCGCTCCATTAAATATCATATAGTATCATTGTTACTAAGCATTCTACTTGTATTTCAGTTCGGCGAGCTGCCGTTCCATTTGGTCAGGTCTAAACGCTTCACCGACCTCTATGCGGAAGTTTTATTTAACTACGAGTGGTTACATGCGAAGCTTAACAGCTGCCCCCTACAAGCCGTGCTGGCGGACTTTGAGGACGCCAAGCTACATGTCAACAAAGACGCCGTTAGGTGCACAAATTTTATAAAAATTTTGGTATAAGACACTTTAACAGTTGTTGGAGCTAACTCCAACACTAAACAACACTCCAAAAGATAATAGAATTTATTGGAACACTTTATTACAAAATTGATATAGGTACAATTATACACTAATATAATTTGAGAACTGGATGACCAAACGTGAACTGACTGCCTGTCGGGGTATATTTTAATGCTTACCACATATCGGTAGACTATAGGTAAAATTTAAAAAGAAAGCTGTTTGGTTCAACAGTTATATAAACAACCAGCAACAAATTCTTGCCTTCAGTAATGAAACGGCCAGGTATACCTGATTGAATTCTTTTTGTGTAAAACTTGTCAAACTAGCAGGCGGTTCACCTGATGTTGGACATCTGCAACACCCGATGGCTTGCTGATGCGTTTACAACCTTTAAAAATGTGGGCCCCAGCCACCTCACTCAGCAGACGAAATGCGAAAGATTAAACTTTTACTTCGGTCTTAAGAACTACCGGTCTTCTGTGAGACCGTGGTACTTCCCCGGACGTGCCTGCCCATTCGTGCAACATTACAAGATCACTACGTACTATTAACACACACAGTCAAAATTATAAGTAGGTATTGTTGAAACCAAGAATCTTTTTATTGATGTAAAGTACGCAATAAAGTAAATGATTATAAGTAAATAGTTATTATAATTAAATAGTAGAATTTAACGCGTTGCCCTAACAGTCTTATGGAACGTTACAATTTTTAAATGGAATCATAATTATAAGTAAATTAATAGTATTAGCAAGCAAGACCCCCACTTCCTCACATAAAAAGAGAAAAGAAATTACACGCATATATACCTAAATACGTCAGCCATTCTGATGGACAGTAAAAAATCTTATGCACGAACGTTCGTCCAATTTTATTAAATAAAGATATGAGTCAAGTATAAACCTACATTCTATCAGGGAGCTGATGCTAGTTGCTGATGCGCTTCGCCTGGGTGGGGCCATCCTGGGCGCGTACCCAGACATGCTGGCACCGCAGCTGGTGGGCAGGCTCTTACCAGAGGCGCACCAGAACCCCGCTGTGGCCTCACTGCTGCAGCAGTGCCATGGCGTGGGGAAGAACCATTGCGCTCTGTTACCTTCCCACCATTGCTTGCATACGCCGGGGGGGCCTTTAAAGGTACAGTTGCATGTCTTTTGAGAAATACAATTTTGGTGGTTCACCTGATATTAAATGATAACTGCCGTCCATTTACATTAGATAAATAGAGTCATCCCTGAATCGTAACTAACCAGTACTAGTAAAGCGTAACCTTTGAGTGAGAAAAGAACTGGCTCTATTGCCACCAGCTACCACAAAGAACAAGAGGACATTAGACCTTCTTTACAATCGTCATTTTAATTTATTATTATTCTTTTACTTCAGCGAGAAAAACGATAAATTCCATATTCAAATCCGTTTACCACGGTATTGATAACTTTTTTCGCAGTACTCTTTAGAAGGTCATCAGTTCGCTGTATTCGCTTTCAAACTGAGCTCGGACAAGCGTTACGTCGTCTCGATCTCAAGCAGAGTCATCTCCTGGGACCTCTCTACCTCAGACCTGGCGAGAGATCTATGTCCTCAGCTCGAGGGCATCATGCAAAATCTGGAGCTGTCACCAGACAACAAGTGGGCCGCTGCTTCGACCAATAATTCCGTGGTAAGGAAATACAGTTTTGAGGAATATAAATATTTCTGGATATCCTCTTTAAACAGCAAACAGCAACTGCAAAATGTACTTAATCATACTTTTATTTTGACGATTAAATATAAATATGCCTAATTATATAATGCATAAACACACAGACACACCAACAACACAATTCCACTATCGGAAATCGCGCCAGAACCAAAAATTTCATCCACACCACCTCGATGTCCAGCGTTCCACAACAGCGCGATTTTCAAGGCATTTCTTGCCTCGCACAACCACTCTGTGAAACCAGCTGCCTTCGGCGGTCTTTCCGAACCTTTACGACCTGGGAACCTTCAAGAAGAGAGCATACTCTTTTCTAAAAGGCCGGCAACGCATTTGTGAGCCCTCGGGTGTTGCAGGTGTTCATGGGCGGTGGTAATCACTTACCATCAGGTGAGCCTCCTGCTCGTTTGCCCCTTTTCTCCATAAAAAAAATGTTAATCACACAATATTTCCAGGGGATTCCAAATCCTACCCTCTGGCTCTAGAGAAAAGGTTTATTTCCCGCTATTCTAATTGGTCGTTCTTTGTATTATTGCCTAGATAACGTTTTCTCACAGTTTTAACAGATTGAACCGTATTTTTTTAATATTTTTTTAAATATAAGAATGCTTAATGTCCAAACATGTACAATTTCCATTACAGTCGATGCTACTGAACATGTTGACGAGTGAGTACGTCACAATCGAGAATCCACTGGATGAAGGTAAGATTTTAGTTCCCTTTATATATTTTCATGTTTCATGTTTGCAAATAGCAATAAATATAAAACAGTTTCAATCTACTTATTTATTTACTTCACCAACAAGATACACATCAAAACATGCTCAGAAGTACATAAATGACTACGGTACATAGTATCTTAAAACAAATGGTATCTAAATTACAGGTGAAACAACATTCAAAAGTTTTTATCAATATAACTTTTTTTTTTAAATTTTTTTTTTTTAAATTTTAAGTAAATTTAATTATAACAAAGGACTAGTAATCCATGCAGTATATTTTTTATGTGAAAAGGTTCACCTGATGTTAAGTGATAACATTTGCAACACCGGTAGGGTTAAAGATGCGTTGCCACCTTTTAATAAAGTGGGCCCCCCAAACTCAGCTGTTGCACGAATGGGCATCTCATCCGGTAAAATACCACGGCCTCACAGAAGATCAGCGTGGAGCGGAAATATAATACTTTCGCGTTTAGTGATGTAACTGAGACCCTTACTTTAGGGTTGGAAACGCATCTGAAAATCGTGTGGTGCTATACATCCATGGGTATCGGTAAACACTGAACATCGGGTGATCCATAAAAAATAAAAAGAAAAAACCCGACTACGAATTGGCAAACTTCAAATACCTACTACTACTATATACTAAACTAGCGACCCACCCCGGCTTCGCACGGATGCAATGTGTTATACATATAAACCTTCCTCCTGAAAGTAGGAAGTAAAAAAACCGCATCAAGATCCGTTGCGTAGTTTTAAAGATCTAAGCATACATAGGGACAGACAGACAGCGGGACAACTTTGTTTTATTCTATGTAGTGACTAACTACTACTATATTTTATTGATATAATTTCATTGGCACCTTCACCGGGATTTGAATTCAGGTTACTTGACAATGTTGAAGGAACAGCGGGGACCAAGCTATAAGTTAAACACACAATCCAGCATTTTACAGTTACTTAGCCACTAACAGGTCTTAGGTTCTATTTTTCGATGAAGAGAAGTGATAATTCTATTCAACACTTCTAAAAATCTTACTGTTTCAGGCGAGACCGTCCGAGGAGTGTATGTCCTTAATCACCATATGTTCATCTATGGTCCACGCTCCTGGGTGCGGTATAACATGAGAGGCGAGCATGTGGAGACTGTATCAGCACCTGACACGACACCATATGATGACGTCACTTGGGAAATACTGTGTAATGGAACTTTAAAATAATCGAATGTACTGTACTGGAATACAGCTGGTTTTAAAATAAAAGAAAGGAAAAGGACGCAACAAAGTAAAATAAATAAAATAGGAATTCTAATTGCACTATCTTAGAAGATGGCACCTTACCAATTGACCGGGTGGTTGATCTTATATTAAGTACCGCCACCTATGTACCATCATCTAGACAAGATTCTTACAGTTGCAGATACGCTACGGCGTAACCCTGCCAAAGTTGAAAATTTTATTATGTTTTAATAATGATCTCTTCTTATTATTTCTCAAATGTGTTCTTGTCGATACGTAATGCCTTCCATAATTCTTTATCAGATTTAATGATTCAAACACAATTTATATCTTTTGTTTTTCACTTTTGGTGAAAAAATAGCAGTATATATATATATATATATATATATATATATATTATTATGAGTAAATTTCAGCCATGGAATTCCGAGACCTGGAGAACTTCGTTCTCGTCATGTGGAGCGGGGATCTGGACGAAGACAGACTATTGGTGCACTTCTGCAAGAATGGCAGCTGGATGCAGCCACTGCGCTGTCGGGGTGCAGTGACTTTAGATAAGAACTGGTCAAAGGTTTACTGCAGCGATCCCGAGCGAGGATATCAGGTTAACAGCTAAGTTGAACCACAAATCTTCTGTGCACCGTTATTATGACAAGTTGTTTTTCTTCAAAGTGAACCCTCTATTAAAAAACCCCTTTTTAAGAATACCATAATATGTTTTTATAAAGGAGTGGACACAATAAGTAGGAATGCTGTAAAGTATTCGAAATTAAAATCACAATTAAATCGTCTTGTATTCAGAAATGAATATATAACTTATGAAATAATTATTTAAAATAAAGACAATGTGATCAAGACAGTTGTTGACTAGGAACTGGATATCGCTTACCACAATTTTTGTAATATACTTATTATATATTATATTATGGAGATGGAATAAGGTGACGGAAAAAGAGAATACAATCTAAATTATACAATCCCAAAAACAAAGATGGCCGTTTCTGTCTTAAACATGTTGAAAAAATTCATATTTTATTCTTTCATTTTATTTTATTTTCATATTTTATTTCCCACAATAGGTGAACCTTGAGTTTTGGTTATGGTTAATAATAAATGAAAGGGCATACCTGAAATATTTTATATAAAATTGTTCAGCACATGTTCAGCAGTGGACTCAAAGAGGCTAAAATGATGATGGTGATGACACATGATTTATGAGTCGGCAGCGCAGTTTAGTTTCAGCGCCGGGGTGGATCAGACAGGCGAACGATCTTAAAAAACATTGATGACTCCGTAGCGCAATTGCCAAGATATTGGCAACTGCGCCGAGGGTCGTGGGTTCGATTCCCACTCGGGACAACTGTTTGTGCGTCCCTCAGATAAATGTTTCGCATCTGGATGTTTGTCCATGTGAAATTTATGTTTGTAAAACTTCCAAACGACTGTGTTGAAACACAGTATAATGCTTCTAAAAAGAAAAAGAAAAAAAACAAGATTCACATGCCGACCCCACGTAGGTGAGATAAGGGCGGCAGAAAAAAGGAGGTTATGTGATTTATCACAAATGAAAATGGATGGATGGAAATCAAAAATGCAAATGGCAAAGTGTCGCCCGTTGGGGCGTTCTAAGGGGGAGGCCTATGTTCAACAGTGGACTTCTTGCGGCTGATGATGATGTTGATGTGATTCATAGATAAGTGTCTTCGGACTGAACGAGGAGGAGTCGCGATGGGACAAACTGGAGGAGCTGCAGCACCGTGAAACGGACACTGCAGAAGCCATGCTGCAACTGAAACGAGGGAAAAAAGACCGGATGTTGCTGGGTGAGGGGTGTTTTAACGTTTTAAAAAAGAGTATCAGAAGCGTTGCGTTTTATCTACCAAACAACTGTGGTAGGGCCAAGCAACAGCTTCTGCTGTTGCACGAATGGGCAGGCTCGTCCGGGGAAGTACCACGGCCTCTGGTGAGAGTGGTAGCCGGGGCTCATATTTTTAATGGTTCATAATCCAATGGTTCATCCCATCAGCAAGCCATTGGGTGTTGAGGATGGTATTCATTTAACATCAGATGAACTGCCTGCTCGCTTGACAACTTTTCACATGAAAAAAAAGACCCTATTAAAGTTGACATTATACATTCAACCATACTGTTATTGAGGATTGCGGTTGGGTGGCGACTATCTTACGGTCAATTGCTTATAAAAATCTTAGAGATACTGTTTAACCAACTGATGTGTATATCATTTTGGAAACCCTTTTTTAAAAAACAATATCAGAAACTTTTACTATTTATTCATTTGCGTTTTATTTACCAAACTAAACCTATTAAATGACATTATACATTCAACCATACTATTATTGAGGATACCCGATGGATAGCGACAATTTTACGGTCAATTGCTTAATAAAAAGATTCTTAATGATGCCAAATGTTGTGTATATCATAGTTTTGGAAACATTTTTGTTACAGCTACGACCACGTATAGCTTTGTAGTTTGGGACTTTTACAATTTAATACCTAGAGGCAACCATATTAAGGAGATGAAGAAATGTAAAGAGGATGCTGAAAAGAAAGATGAGGAAGTAAGATGGAAAGATTTTGTCATTTTTAATTTATTATTATATAGTACAGAAATGAAGGCTAAATATTTATTCGTTTTGGAGAACTATCATTTCTCATACTTTTTAAAAGCAAATTACAGTTTCACTTATTTACCGGTGTATGATGATAAACTAAACGCAGGTCGCTCTTAGGACAATGACATAAATGAAAAAACGAAAACTTTCTTAGGGAATAATAAAAAAATGTATTTTCCAGGAAGAGAAAACGGATGTGGTCTCAGAGAAAGATCTCCGCCAACAAGGCATCGTGCTAAAACTGCCTCACACCATCCGCAACATCTCAACTAAAATGACACAGTCCAATTCCTTCATGGTCAGCAACAACAATACTTACGCTGTGGCTGGAGTAAGGTACATAAAATTATCACAGTCAAGACTAACAGATTAGTAAATATCTGGGTCCCATTGAAATTTCATTTCTTGGCTTGTCCTTTCAACTTATCTAATAGGAATTATTTATTATTCATACAGAAATTATGATACTACTTAAAGTCAATCTGTCATCTATACAACAACTGCAACAACTTGATATTGCCCTGTGTCCAATTTTTATTAATTTACGGTATTTTTTTAAGATTATTTTTTTTTTTAATTACTAGTTTGCTTAACTTAGTTGGTAAAGCGTCTGGCCGTGAAACCAATAGATGTAAGTTCGAATCCCACAGCGCCGAAGATTTCGTTAATTTATCTTCAAAAAAATTACAATTTAAAACGTAGTAATGATTTTTATCGAACACTCGGCCAGTTAAAGCAGTCAATATTAAAGCAGAGGAATAATAGTGAAATCACATTTAAGACAGTTAAACTATTATATCCGCCGTCTCTAATGTAATAAATTATTTTTTACCAGAAGTTCTGTTAGCCTTATTCTTTCTGGCATTAATCTTGGCTATTGCCAGGGACTGTCTGCGACCTAGGTGGGGGTGGCACAACAGTGAATAATGTTGTAAATCGTTTTGGCTAGGTTTTTACGACCAGTCAACTGCCTGGCGTCAACCCTCCTTGGGAAACGAACCCCCAGATCCGGCACAATTTTCTGTGGGTTACACAAGTGCTTGTCCCGTGTGGGAATCGAACTCACGACCACGCCTAAGCCTATTACTTAGCGACGGCTTAGGTCTGTTAGTAACGACACAACTTAATTTTGTGCACATGCTGTAGAAAGAACCTATACGTGTGGAGTTTGGAAACGACGAAGCTGATAAAGATCTTGGATGCTCATTTCGGACGGATAGTACAGCTTGAGCCGTTGACGATAGGCGCCTGGAACAACGTGATCACCTCGTCTATCGATCGCACCGTGAAGATTTGGAACATCGATAACATCTTCGAGCAAGTCCATAAGATCGATCGACAAGAGTTGCCAATCGACTCTATCAGGTAAACTATTGTATATATATTTATATTTAGTAACCCAAAATCATTCTGGACTTATGTGAAAGCGAACAAAGCTGCTCAATCATTTCCTGGCAACATGAAACTTAATAATGAAACAGCTAAGAATGGTCAACAAATTAGTGATTTATTCGCAAAATACTTTCATTCAACTTTCTCTTCACCAGAAAATAATTCTCAATTTATTCCTCCCGCCATTAGTGATGTGAACATCCCCCATTCGGTTAATCTTCATACCATATACCTCAATAAAGACGAAATTTGTAGGTTACTTAAATTATTAGATCTTAATAAATCAGGTGGGCCTGATCTTATACCTCCTCACTTCATAGTTAGTTGCGCTGCCGAACTTTCTTTTCGTCCTATATCGCCGCTCAATATCCGAAGGCATTGTGCCCAAAATTTGGAAACAGGCATACATCACACCTGTACATAAAAAAGGGGACACTACAAAAATAGACAATTATAGACCTATCTCAAAACTATGTCTGTTTGCTAAAGTATTGGAAAAAATAATACATAAACAGGTTTACAGCTCTATTTCCCCCATATTAAGTGATGCTCAACATGGATTTCTAAAAAACAAGTCGACTGTTACAAATTTACTACTTTCGAACAACTACATAACTGAGGGTATGGACAGTGGGTTCCAAGTAGATTGTATCTATACGGATTACAGTAAATGCTTTGACCGAATAGATCATCAAATACTTTTAAACAAATTGGCAATAGCAGGAATACATGGAGACCTACTACGTTGGTTCGCCTCATATATTGACAACAGGTCACAGCAGTTGTACTGAATGGACACATGTCGTCATGGTTACCTATTTCCTCAGGAGTTCCTCAAGGGTCCATGTTAGGACCTCTGCTCTTTACCATTTTTATGAACGAAACAGAGAGGTGTTTTATGCACTCTAAAGTACTCCTGTATGCTGATCATATGAAAGTACTTAAAGTCATCACTAGTAAGGAGGACACATTACTGCTTCAATCAGATCTACAAAGACTTGTAATGTATTGTAACAAAAACAAACTAGATCTTAATATCACTAAATGCTTCTTTATGTCGTTTACAAGGAAAAGCAATATTATAGACGGAGGATATAACTTAATGGGAACGTCTATTGCTAGAGTATATGAGGCGCATGATCTGGGGGTAATTCACGATTCAAAACTCATCTTTGACAAGCACATATCTTATATTACATCCAGAGCATACAAAGCTATGGGTTTCATTATTCGCTGTTCTTCTGTTTTTAGTAATATCAAAACAATAAAAATTCTTTATTGCTCATTTGTAAGACCTATACTCGAATATGCCTCGCAGGTCTGGAATCTACAATATGAGATTTATAAGTCTCGTATTGAGGGTATCCAGAAAAGATTTTTAAGATACCTTGATTACAGAGTGCATAATAATTCACGTGACTACAATGATAGGTGCCATAGGTACCATTTTCTTCCTTTGTCCGTTCGGCGTGATATTAGTGACGTATGTTTTTACCTGAAACTCTGCAACAGTTCAATTAACTCTCACGAGCTGTTATCAGACATCACTATAAATGTACCTATAGCAAATACGAGAAACCGCAAACTTCTTTACATACCCAGAGCTCATACGAATTACAGGTGCAATTATTTTATGATTAGGACTGCTAAAGATATTAATGCACGAAATATCGACCCATTCTTTACTTCTCCAACTGTGGCTAAAAAAACTTTAACAGAGCAATGTTTTTCCTAAAAATGGTTAACTAATTACTAAGAATTGAATTTGATTTATGTACTAAGTTTTTTCTATTTTTTTATTTATTTTTTATTATTTTTTTTCTTTCACCACTTGCTCGGCTTTTTTTTTTTTAAAAACATAATTATATACTAAAGGTGGAAACTTGTAATTGGCTCTTTATATATGTTACAATATTGTTTTAAAATAAGTACCTAATTTGCTGTAAGTTTTCCTAATAAAATAAAATAAAATAAAATAAAATAAAATAGAAATTTGTTGCGCTTTATCCAATATTGTAATTAGAGTGGATACTAGCTAGCAGCTTTAACTTTAATAAATAAAACTGCCTGCAAATTAATGAGTATTGTAATGGTAGATAAACGGAAAACACGGATAACCGTTCGATTATTATATATTTTTTATGTGAGAAGGTGACAATGATAAGTTAGCAGGTGTAAAGTAAAGTAAAGTATCAGCCTATACATGTCCCACTGCTGGGCAAAGGCCTCCTCTATACAGAGGGTATCAGGGCATAGTCCACCACGAGGCCCCACTGCGGATTGATGGACTTCACATATCTTCAAAATATATATTTTTTTGTTATTATTTCGAAATAATGCAGGTTTCCTCACGATGTTTCCCTTCACCCACTTAAAATTGACAATTTCATTGGTGCCGGCACCGGGGATTGAACTCAGGTTGATCGAGTATATTGAATTAAAGGCGAGCGCCCGGACACTGAGCTATCACGGCTCTAGCAGGTTTATCACCTAATATTCATAATGATATATTCGTAATGTTGACCGCCGCCCATTGACATTTGCAACACCCGTAGGGTTGCAGAAGAGTTGCCACCTTATAATAAACTGGGCCCCGGCTACCTCACTCAGCAGACAAAATTCATAACTATAACACTTCTACTTCATGCCGGTCTTCTATGAGTTTTTGGTCCGGATATCCGGACGGACCTGCCCATTCTTCACTGTACCTACGTAAATATCACGCGTGACGTCCGAACGAAGCTTCACAAACATAGTTGACCGGCGTGTAAAAACTTCAGTCATGTTAGGATAAAACGCATTTAAAGAGTATTCTCAACTCGTTACTCGTTTGTTTTGTAGGCAGTTATATTTAAAAATGTAAGTAAAATCTGTTAGCTCTCTAGTCTTCTTCCGTCCATTAATCACGTGAGGCTCGATAGGGGGGGAGAGGGAGTTTGGCAAAAATCACAAAATATCACAAGGGAATGGGGAGGGGTGTAGTAAGATATCACGTTTATTTATTTTTTCGTCAAACGCACGATTTCTAACGCCGAAAAGCGGCGTGTAGTGACCTTGACCCGCCGTTGCCAGGCAACGAACAAAGTTCACGCGCACCGCGAAGACCTTGATATTTTGGCTAAAAGATAATATTCTAAAAATCATTTACAATTTTAAGATTTTTCGTAGGTACTAAAAATACACGTGTTTTAGTTTTAATCATCACCACGCATCACCAAGGTGGAGGAGGGGTGTTTAAAATGCTAAAAAAAGTCACTTGGTTAATGGACGGCCTGTTTACATTTTTGTCTAATTTAAATAGTTCGAATAGCTCTACTCTTATTTTGAAGCTGAATGTACTAATTATTATATAAAAAATTATAACTAAAACAAGTTAATGTTGTAGGCAAATCTACAAATGCTGCAAATCTACAAAATATACCTATTTAAATAAATATTATGATACTGAAAGTTTTGTTAGCTTACATGTGTTTAATTAAATCGGAAATTTTATTTTATCGATCATAACGTTTTCAGTCTGGCAAGAGACAAACAGCTTGCGGTTACGGTGACGCGCAGTTGCTGGGGCCTATGGGACACTAGCACTGGCAGGCTCTTGGCACAGTTGGCAGACGCACCGTTGGGTGCAATTGTAACGCACGCGGTAGTTACTCCGACCGGTGACAATGTTGTCACTGCCGAATCTGGAAACGTGGTGATATGGGACATCGCAGAACAACAGGTATGCTGGTTAAAATTATTCCTGGTTAAGATTATGACCGCTCGTACGTTGGTCGAGACGTGCTTTAAAATATATTCTCTTAAATATTTCAAGTATCTTCTACTACATAGTAAAACACAACCTCTGCAATTAGGATAAGGTACAAAAAGTGATGATAATTACTCATTTTTTTTCTTTAACCAAATCACGTAATCAGGTGGTCTTTAAAGAAGAGCAGAAAGGCGTGAAGCAAGTACTACTCTTAGAAGATGGAAGCAAATTTATCACCATCTCAATGCAAGTGACTACGGAACATATTGACAATTTGGCCGTGGCTATTATAGTAGCCCGTACACTACCTGGTTAGTATACATTAACTTTTTTATATTTTAAAGATAAATGCCTCTTCACTACTTTAAAAGTACTATTTTAAAAGTACCTATTAACTATTTTAAAAGTACCTTATGAAGTTATTTTATTTTCGATGATATGATGCGCTGAAGTGATGGGAAAAATAAATAATGTCTTTTAATTGTTTATCGCTAAAATTCTCTTTACATTCTTAATCGTCACTGCTTTTAACTTCATACAGATTTCGATATGTACGTTTACAAGTCATAGTATCAGAGTTATTTACCTTCAGGATAATTATTTTAACAATTTTGAACAATCTGCATTGTATTCGTTTGTTTTCAATTCAATTAACTTAACACAACCTCCTCGAGTTAGATAGTTTTAGCAGTTTCAATGCCTACGTATTATTGTAGTCATTATTGCCTTTAATGAATGATTATGTCATAATCATTCATTAAAGGCAAAATTGAACGAATACATTTAACCGTAGTGCAAAGATTTACTTCTAATTTTCATTTGTAAAAACATTGTAAACAATAAATTATACAATACTTATGCCATTACGCTATCTACAATAAGGATTGAAATTGTTCATGTGTCAAGTAATATTTAAAGTCAAATAAAAATCTAAGCGAACATTTAATTCTGTTTACTATTTGCTTGAAACGAAGAAAACGAAAGAACAATCAAGCATATCGACACAAAAGTGAGCTCCAATTTAAGCATCATATTGAAAAAAATTGTCAATGTTATATACTTTCTATTGTAGTAGGGTGTGGGTTCGATTTCCAATACTGGAAAATTATTTTTTTTTATGTGAAAAATTGCCAAGCGAGCAGGCGTTTGGACATCTGGTACACCCGGGGTTCCAGATGCGTTGACAACCTTTTGCAAATTGGGCTCCGGCTACCTCACACACAAGACGATACGCAAAAGCATTATACTTCCACTTTATGCCGGTCTTCTGTGAGGTTATGGTACTTACACGGACGAGCCCGCCCATGCGTGCAACAGCTGAGGCTGCTGCGTGGCCCTACCACAAAAGTACGATGAAGATATGGTTTTAGTGTTTACATGTAAGTTTAATTATGTTGTTTAAGTAGGTAGTTGTACCTACGAGTAGTAGCCATAGTTCAAGCTTTGCTTAACTTGGGATTAGATAACATTGGTTAAATATACGTCCTGTTATTGCATCGATCATTACCCTAAAACATACGGATGATTGATGTTAGATAAGGGACCATTTATAGCATATGTTGTCGGTATCTAATGTTTTTTGATCAAGAGTACTTGGTAATATCGCCGATTAAAAAAAGCATATTTGATACATTTTCAATTATTTTTATAATAATCGTGATGTCAGATGGCGAAAAGATCTACAGCGTGGAATTTGAACTCAGAGGAACTGGCTACAAGGCAGCAGTGATATCAGCAGATGAACACCATATCGTTGCTCCGGGAGTGGATAAATCTTCAAGGGACTGTCTTCACGTGTTTCATGCTAGAACTGGTGCTAGACTTCACAGGTAAGGTATTTTGTTGATTTCTTCTAAAATTCCCATAAATTGTAAAAGAAATAATGCTTTTAGCGATTGACTTTAGAAATACTAGATATAGTTGAAAGAAAAATTTACGTAAGGTCCTCGTCTGTCTTTTATCTTTATTATTCCTTTCTAATCTTTGTATCTATCATATACATTGCTAACAATACAGACAAATAATGATATTACAACGTTCACCCAAGTTTTTACTAACATATATAAAACTCTTGGTTAACATATCTACAGAACTTTTATTATTACCTAAAATTGCAACTTTTCAGGATTCCAATAAAGAATAGCGGGATTAAGGACATGCAGTCAATAGTGGCACTACCACACAAACCACACTGGGTGGGCGTAGTCGGCAATGACAAAGCTGGAATACTTGATATTAAAACTAAACGACACGTAAGGTTTGTAAAAAAAGATATTTGTGATTAAACTGTAAATATACACTGGATATCTGATTCATTGCTAATAGATCAAACAGCCATGTTAGTCCACGTGGCTTCCTAATCATGTTTTCTAAACTCTCGAGTTTCGTTACCTAGTATAGAGCTGCTTCGGTAGCGGTATAAAGAACTAACAACTTGCCATACAGAACCGTATCGTGGAAAAACTTGTGTTGATCGGATCGCTACTAAACTTCGCAGGGTAACCGCTGGACTAATCTGAAGAGTACTTTCTGTTATATTTCATCAAAGTCACTCCAGCCATGGGGATATTTATACATACATACGCAACGATTTAAAATGTTAGAAGCTGGCGGTTCACCTAATGTTAAGTTAGTCGCATGGGCATTTATAATACACGTAGGGTTGCCGATGCGTTGCCACCTATTAATAAAGTGGGCCCCGGCTACCTCATTCACTAGACGGAACGCAGAACACAACACTTCTACTTCACGCTGGTGTTATTTGAGGTCGTGGTTACTGGTACTTACCCGGACAGCTGCCCATTCAACAGCTGTCACCTGACACGTGGCCGTACCACATTATATACGTAATAGGTGAAGTGCATTATTCAGGTACTAGCGTTTGTAGTAAGCATGCACTGAATATTAATATATCCTGATATATATCCTTTTACTTTATTATATTAAGTTTTTATAGTCCTGCATTTTATATCACTTAAGAAGAAACGTTAAAATTGGACTCCCGCGGCAGCGAAAAACTTATCGTCCATTTTTTCAACGAATTTTAATGTTTCACCTTAAGTGCTCTGCTCTTAAAACTTTTACAACATTAGCACTATAAAAGCTTAATATAAAAAATTACAATTTCAATAGCACAGGCGATATCTCTCATTCGAATTATCGTTGTGGAACGACATTTGAAATTGTTTGTGTGCGTAAATACAATAGGTACGCCTAGTACAGCTTAAAATGCGAAAAGAAGGAAAATTTATTAAAATTCAACTTTGAGCGTTTCATCACTTAACAAGCACTTCAGGTTAAACATCAGCTTGTATGCCATCTTCTCACATAAAAAAAAAGATTAAATAAGTTGAGTTCTCACCGGCCATGTAGCTTAGTGATTAAAGCGTCTGTGCGAGTTTTCGAAAGACGCGAGTTCGAAACCCGCGAACTTCGTCCTTTTCAACATCGTTACAAATTCCAAGATTAAAATATCCGATAATTACAGATTCGTGCCTCGCTGGAACGGCGCGTGCACGAGAGACGGAAAGATCGGACTCTGCGCCCCGTCGAGGGGTGGCCTCGACCTCATAGAGCTGAAGAGGGGCACTTCGCTGCAGCAGCTGATCTCCAGGGCAGCCGAAGGAGTCTTCTCCATAATCACGATGTTCAGTTCAACCGACCAATACGTCTTCTACTACCACAGCGGTAGAAAAACTCTCAGAGTGTTCAGGTACATCGCTGAGTAATCTTTTCTAAATAGCACGTTTTTCGTGTGATAGTAAAAAAATTATGTAATATACAAGGACAACATTTTTATATATAAGTACCTACGTACCAGATTCAGATTCAGAATCCAATTCTGTCATATGCTCTGTTAATATGTCCGTAGTCTATAAAATCACCCTGTACACGTTCTGGTACATATTGTATATTCATTTTTATTTACTTTTGAAGACTAAGAGAATTCTCTAATGTATTCTCTAATGTTCTCTAATGGATCTAAAAATAATAAATAATTGAGACCCAATGCAAAAGTAATTTTGAAAATTGAATCATAAATGACGAAGTTGGAAGCATAAAAAATCCAATTGAGAACTACTTCCTATTTGAAATCTGTTGATAAAGTAATATATTATTTTTCTCTCCTGTTACGTTAATTTATAGATAAATGCATCCCCTCTGTTTAGTGTAATATATATTTCTATAATTATGGTTAAAGTATATTTTAATCTATTTCAACAGCATGTATGTATACTTTAGAGATGAAAAGATGATGTCACTTTCATGTATTCCTTTAAAGCGTTTATTTATGAGGTTTATGCTTAGCAGTGGACACGAACAGACTGAAATGATGATGATGATGATGATGACAAATATAAATACAGTGTCAGCACAAAAATGCTATGAGTATATTGAGAACTAAACAGGTCGATCAATTGCAGAACTGTTGACGGACGAGCGGTCGCCGAATACAGAGCGCCTGCAGAGGTCACTGGTGTTGCAAGTGCCCATGGTGGCAAAGCGGTTGCACTCGCTTCCCAGGACGGATGCCTGACAATACTTAATATTGTAGATCCTCACGAGTAGATTGCTCCTGATCTCCGATCGGCTTGCTTCAGTATTTCGCGTGTAATATTGAGTCCTCAACAAGGCGCCGATGAAAGCAAGAGTTACCTGAACTTTAAATAATAAGATGTTCCTCATTCATTATCCTCCAGCCTAATCCCGCAGGTAGAGTTGGCACAACACGTGTATCATTTTTAAGCAGTTATAATATAGCGGCTGCCAGCCTGATGTCAACCCTCATCGGAAAACAAACACCCAGATCCGGTACAATTATCTGTGGATCACACAAATACTTGTCCCGTGTGGGAATCGAACCCACAACCCCCAACACCAGATGGATTTTCAGATGTTATTTAAGTTGCCAAAAGGATTTTTAAACTCTCTGAATTAATCAGAATGATCTTTTTAATGATCAGAATGATCTTTTTAATAATCAGAAACCGGGTGTAAGCCTATTGTAACAAACTTTTATGTAAAAGACACTATAAACACGGCTTCATATCAATAGCATTACAGAATGCTATTTCATAGTCGTGAATAGCACTAAGTTAATTTGCAGTCAATAGCAGTTTCGTCAATCGGGCTATTATAATTCAGGAATATTACGATATGTTAGACAAATATTCTTAATAGCTTTATCGTTGTAATATTATATATTAGTTGTTAGTAATGTCTCTGCAGTAGACTTCTTAGGCTTTTAGTAAATTATTAATAATATAACACAGTAGTTATTAATTACATAGCAAAAGGTATCAACAATTCGCTTGACCTTAATAATCAACAAATACGCTTTACTCACCAAATGTGTGGTACATTAGTAGGAAAACGAATCTTAAGATTACCTAATTCAATTCCCTCTATTATATTTATGTAACAAAATTGATTTAAATTTATATCAACTTATTTTAGTAACAAAACTTTAATATTAATTCTTTATTATTGTTTCTTCAGATAAGCACATAATAGCATTTATTTAACTTATCTGTGATAAAAATGAAGTGATTGTTAGTCAATCTCTTTAGATTATTAATTTTAGTCTCTTAATACAGTCTATACCTATCTGAATATTTCGTATGATATAGTGTTAGATATATTGACATTGCTTTTGGTTTTATTAATTTTTATATTTATGTAAGTTATTTTATCAAACTTCAATCAAATATATTCTGTTATAGGATTTGGTCTTTTGTTCATTTTTCTTTTATTAAATAAAAATTTAAATAACTTTACGAAAGCAAAGTGCAATAATGATAAAAATAAATTTAAATCTTTTATTTAGCTCACAAAATAAATATTTACAAAATATTCGCGGTCGAACTAGTTAAGAGTATATGTAAAAAAGACAAATGTGAAATCGTCGCAATGTACAAATTGTTCCCTCATGTTTATAAAACTATATTTAAATATATCTAAGTTAACCTGTGGAAAATGACGTCATAACGATGAAGCCACTAGTACACCAAGAATATTCTAAACAAGAAAACGCACCGAATTGCGTCATTACAAACGTTGTTTTTTTTTTAAATTTGTCTTAGTCTCCATTTAGCCCACCTAAGCGGGGTTGTATCGTGTCGATGTCAAATGCCTTAGATCAGTATTACGAAAAATTTTCTTAAATTGAATCACCCATAGGGTAGTCTTATTGAACATGTTCCTAGCTTATTCAAAACTCGTATTCCGATACGTATAGATACAATTTCGCGACCGCTATGCCGCCAAACTGCTCCTTATTGTAGAGCTCCATAGACAGTTCCAGTTCTATACTCTGTGGTCCCTCGAGCGATCTCACCAGCGATACGACGCCTTGGTTCGCCTTTTGCACCAGTCTGAAACCAAAAAGAAGTTCGTTCGTAACATTCGTCATTTGCCATCAGTAACAAATGTTGTCATCGCCTCATTGTGTCAATTTAAATTAAAATATCTTTATTAAATATAGAATCATTACACTTAATTATTGATTGTCAAAACCTTACCACCGGTTCGGAAAAGAAAAGCCACTGACCTGAGAAGAACCGGCGAAAGAAACTCAGCGGGCTATTTTTTTAACCATTAATAATAATAATAATAATAATAAAATATATTTATTCTCATATACGCTTGCGCGTTCTTATGAAACGTCAAAATTTTACAAGAAATTAACACGTTCGTAAGTTACCACCGGTTCGGAAAGCAGTTTCTGTTGAGAATAAACCGGCAAGAAACTCAACAGTTGCTCTTTTTTAAAAAAATCAGTTTTACAATATAATAGTACAGGTACAATAGTCTTGTTTTAGCCTACGTGAGTATCAACAGTATTAACCCCACACATTGGCGTCGTCAAGATATTCGGCAATAGTATAATAGGCTTTAGCCATAAGTGTACTTTTAATTTTTCGTTTAAATTCATCAAGTGGCAGACTTAACATCGACTGTGGGATTTTATTATACATGCGCACACTTTGCCCCATGCACGATCTGTTTACTTTTTGTAGGCGAAATAATGGCGTAGTTAGTTTGTCCTTATTTCTAGTATTTAGTTTATGTCTGTCACTATTCTTTTGATAATTATTAATATTCTGTTTAACATACAAAATATTACAATAAATATATTGAGACGCAACAGTGAGTATATTAATCTCTTTAAAAAGATCTCTGAGTGTATTCCGGGCTCCGATGTTATAAATTGCTCGGACAGCTCTTTTTTGAATAATAAATATTGAATTTATATCAGATGCACTACCCCACAACAAAATGCCGTATGACAAGATGCTGTGAAAATAACTGTAGTAAACAAGTCTAGCAGTGTCGATGTCTGATAGCTGCCTAACCTTCCTAATTGCAACAGCGGAGCTTAACCTATTCGCAAGAGATGATAGATGGGGACTCCATTGGAGCTTTGAATCTACTGTGATTCCCAAGAATACAGCGGACTCAACAGGATTAAGGGTTACGGCTATTCAATTTTAAGCTCAAACTTTGCCTTCTTACGTTGGGAAGGGCAAAAAGAAGGCATTTAGTTTTTTTAGCATTTAACACCATATTATTAATGGTAAACCAGTGGAGGATACGCGAAAGTGCACTATTCACGTCGTCATAATTCGATACATTTCGGTCAACCTTAAAAATAAGCGATGTGTCGTCAGCAAACAGTACAACATCACATAACTCACTGGCATAGAAGGGGAGATCAGTTATATATACTAAGAATAATAATGGGCCCAAGATCGATCCTTGTGGGACACCCATTTTCATGGGGGACCCTGCGGAATTTACATCATTTATAGATACTTTTTGAATTCTATTATTAAGGTAAGAAGCAATGAGATTGAGGGCGATGTCACGAATGCCATAATAATCAAGCTTTAGAAGGAGGGTTTTGTGATCCACGCACTCGAAAGCTTTTGAAAGGTCGCAAAAAACACCTATTGCATCTTGCGACCCTTCCCAGGCGTTATAAATATGTTTGACAAGTGCGATACCCGCATCTGTTGTCGATCTGCCTTTAGTGAATCCATATTGCTCATTGTGAAAAATTTTGTTCATATTAAAATGTACTAAGAGCTGATTTAAAATTAGTTTTTCAAAAATTTTACTCAGAGATGGCAATATGGAGATAGGTCTGTAGTTTCCTGGATCATTTTTATCCCCACTTTTAAAGACGGGGATTATCTGACTAAATTTCATAAGATCTGGAAATATTCCAGAATCTATGCAGTTGTTAAAAATATTAGCTAAATGTGGTGCAATATATGGCATTATTGTGGTCATTAATTTTATGGACATGCCCCATAAATCCCCTGTATTCTTAAGATTAATAGAATTATTTGACAAAAACTATGTTTACAAATGTATTTAAGTCCATTTGAAAGGGCCCGGAGCGATCAATTCATTTCCAGTGTTATAATTTAAATGTTCACTAATATTATAAAAACCCTTAACACAAACGTTCCATTACAATTTTTTTGAATTTATAAATTGATACATTGTGAACGTTTTCTGGGATTGTGTTGACAAGATGTATACATTGTCCCATATAAGAATTACTTATACTACACAGTCTGTTGGTAGAATTACTTTTATGTTTTCCCAGTATTTATATCATACAATTACAAATATCCTTGCAGAAGCACTTTCTCCACCGCAGAAGCGGCTTTGTGGCTCGAATATATTTAGCTTAAAATTTAGAATAGGTATAAAATGGAACTTACAAAAAGGAGTTGATATCGGCCCGTTCTTTGACCGTCGGTGGCGCGTTCACCTCCATCAATCTCAGTTCGAACCTCATCTTGGCGTATGGCCACGCTGGTCCACGCATAGTGAATAGATCAACCTTAAATAAGAAAATACGTTTACTAAAAAAAATTCTAACAGAAACATTAACCAGTAAAGTTATATCTCAGAGGCATATATTTAAATAACGTTCTTGAGTCCCAAATTAAGCAAAGCTTGTACCGTGTACTAACGTAACTGTTAAACATAATTAAACTTACTTTATTTAAACTAAATGTTTATTATAGATATATAAATAGCCAGATACAATTAAAAGATCATTTATATCACAGGAATGGGATCGAACCCACACCCAAGCTCAAAAAACAGTTGAGCTGAAACATTTATTGAACAGTTGAGCTGAAACTTGAAACATTCATTCAAAGGCGTAGTGGATACTACGCCTTTGAATGAATGTTCGAATATCACGAACATGATTCTGATCGTCTTGTTCTCTCCATTCTTTTTTTTTTTGTTTATTAATAAAAATTCAACCATTTACTTAATGTCCCTTCGTTTGTTTAGTTGTACAACAGTTAGTTTTACTCTACGTTAATTAGAAGTTCGAGGTCTGAAAGGATCAAACCATACTGCCTACTCTTTTGCTGATCAAAAGCATTTATAGCGTGGTTGATGGTCAACATTTAAAGAAGGAAAATGGGTCGGTTTTTATTGCGAAGCAATATTACAAGTGCGTATACCATCACATAGCCAATATTTCTATCGATTCTGACTACGTTCTTGTATATTGAGAAACGATTTCTGTTTGATATCTTATAGTTATTCTATAATAGATACTTTTGAGTCAGTGGCCATTTATTTTCCAAAAAAAGTGTTTCAATAACTGGTAATTTTCATATCAATCTCTGAAACTCACCTTCGCTGCTGGAATGTATAGCTTGGATACGAAAGTTATAAAGTTATAGGAGTATGTGGACGGTTGGTGTGCGCAATTCCAGTCGGACGGCGGACAAACACTCTCAATTTTAGTGCAGCGACTGAAAAAAATAATATTTCGCTAGCTTTTTCTTTCAGCACAAAAGTAGGGTTATGTACGTTGTTAACAGGGTCTTAAACAGAGTTCATCAAACCAAATCCGTTGCAACGTAAAAAGGTAACAATGTAAACGCGATATAAACGCAAATAAAAAATATACAGAAGACGTTAACAATGATAACGAAATAATAATTATATTACAATCTGACAACTAAAAAAAACCAAACAAAAAAATTACTATTACCACGATACCTTAGCCCAGTAAAGGTTTCGAATTGAGTAAAACTATCCTCTAAGAAACCAGGAAATAGAAAAACTAAAATAAGTATGAAAGACTAAAAAGGTCTCCCCCACTCCATTGCATTTTAGAGGAATGGTCATATTTCCACCAACATAAAAGGGGAGTTAATTGCCATCTCCATTTGTTCTCTCTCTCTTTGTATTGTTCCTTGTTGAAGATATACCCTAAAAATACCTTTAATAAGGTTTCCCTAGACAATGAAAGTCTCATGGAGATATAGTCAAACGTCTATACACAACGAAAATGAAGCTGTCTATATTTCTCCATTCATTCTATCTCCCTTTCATCACTACATAGAATAAAACAAAGTCGTTCCGCTGTCTGTCTGTCCCTATGTATGCTTAGATCTTTAAAACAACGCAACAGATCTTGATGCGGTATTTTTTACTAGATAGAGTGATCAAGAGGAAGGTTTATATGTATTTTGCAACCACGCGAAGCCGGGCGATTTATAGAACAGTCCTTTTATTGTTCTACAGCTCTTTGTGTTGTGTACAAGAAGGCGGAATAGATAATTTCATACTGCCTGCTCTCCAGATGGTAGCCCTGGGGGCAGGTGATGCGGTGACAGCGGTAGCTTCCACGCGTGTTAACACACACGTCACTTGTGCTGCCGGATGTACCGCTCTTGGCACACGGCGCCTCTCCCGTCTCACACTCATCGATATCTGCAAGCGATAAAAGATTTTCTATTCGATATCCTCAAATTAATGTATCGATTCAAGCTGACAACGTAACAGAATATGTGAATTTACGGCGTGAGGTCCTCTTCTAAAATGTTAGCAATGCGTTTACAACCCCAATTGGCATGTCACAACTAAAGATATTTTCCACATTAATACTACAATAATGACTCCTTGGCGCAGTTGCCAAGGTATTGGTTTCGGCGTCGGGGGTCGTGGGTTTGATTCCCACACGGGACAACTTTTTGTGTTACCACAGATAGTTGTTTCGCTTCTGGGTGTTTGTCCACGTGAAATATATGTTTGTAAAATGTTTTTACAACACAGGATAATGTTATCCTAAAGTAAGGGCAATTTTTAATAAAAAAATTAAATAGTTCAAGTATCAATCAACAGAAAATCTAAAAAAAATTTAAAAAAATTACTAAGAGCGAATGACCAACCTATGCAGCTTCTTTTGTCTTCTGAGAGTCTGTATCCTGAAGGGCAAGAACAACGGTAGCTGCCAGGCTCGTTTAAGCACCTTCCAATGCAAAGGTTCTTCGATTTGAATTCCGTGCATTCGTCGACGTCCGAACATGTGCTGTAATGGGATAACACTTGAATCATTTGCTGTCATAAACCCTATATAATATAGTTATAAAACTAGCAATTCATAAAGGTTTTTATTTTCATTCCAACGCTGTACGCAATAAAGAATGTCGCATGAATATTCTTAGATAATTAACGTACATAATACTTTGTCACTGCTGTTATGTAAAAAATCTTAAATATAATAAATAAATTAAAATTAATTAATAAACATGCTTGATGCTTTTATTTATGTTTTTTCAAAGTCTTTTTCTTTTTTCAAATAGACCCATGCGCATTCCTATGAAACGGCGAATTTTACTTTCGTAAGTAAGTTAGTTACCACCGCGCGGTTGGGAAAGCAGTTTCTGTTGAGAAGAAACCGGCAACAAACTCAACAGTTGCTCTTTTTTATAAAGATTTTATACAATATAATGGTACAGGTATAATAGTCTTATATTAGCCTACGTGAGTATTAACTCCACACATTGGCGTCGTCGACAGATTCCGCAAAGGTATAATATGCTTTAGCGATAAGTTTACTTTTAATTTTACGTTTAAATTAATCGCGTGGCAGATATATCTTGATGACTTTGGGATTTTATTGTACATGCGCACACTTTGCCCCGTAAACGACCTATTTACTTTTTGTATACAAAACAATGGCGTCGTTGGTTTGTCCTTATTTTTAGTATTTAGTTAGATAATACAGAAATGGATAAGAATTGAACTTCTTCAACAGGTTTTGTTTTCAATAACTAAAAATTTAAATTCACAACAAGAATCTGGGCGTCAATTCATTTAAAAAAAGCTGACCTGTTATCGGGATTAAGTCGGTAGCCCCTATGGCAGGAGCATCGGTATCCACCCCACACGTTGTTGCAACGTTGCTGGCACAGAGTACCAGCTCGGTTCTCCGTGCACTCGTCCACGTCCACACAAACCTGTTGTTACATCATCTTCATCATTATCATCATTATCATCATATCATAATCATTACCACCATTTGTTTGAGCCCACTGATGAACATAGGCCTCCCCCACAGACTGCCCAGCACGATCTTGAGCTACCTGCACCCATTGAATTGTGGGAAACAATTCTGTATGTAGCATACATCGATTCATTCTAATGGATAGAATGAATCGACAACTAATATGCAGAGACAGAGAAAACATTAAACTATTGCGAGGAACGCTGGCGACCTAGTAGCTCTATTGTACTAATATGAAGTAGTAAGAACTTTTCCACGATAAGTGATTGGAACAGAATATTTCGCCAAATCGCATATTATGGATTAACGGTCAAGCTACCGCTTTCAAAAATTATTTCACGATTAGAATGCTGCGTAACATAGGATATATTAATTTCGAGAAAAAAATAGGAATCTCTACTAAAAATTTAATAATATAACCCAAGGTGTAAAAAATAAATGTCCACCCGAGCGAAGTTGGGACGAGCCGCTAGTGTGACATATGGTGATAAACTTGTTCTTAATTTTATTTCTTTATGGATTTTGCAGATGTATTAACTACTAATGGATACATGCGACTTCATCTACGTTGTTTATTATTTTATATTTAAACGATACGATAACACAATACTATCTTCAGGGTGACTTAAAGCGTAATAGAGTTCTAAGCTACGTAACTTCACATGAACGTAAGAACTAAGGCCGCCATATTACTTAAAACTTTAATGGCATGAATTTATCATAACATATTTAGATGTGTGTGAGAAAAGAAAGTGTCTAAAACATAAAACTTAGAAGAATTAATTTAAATACATATATCCAGCGGTTTTTCCATGATGCGCCCACAACAGCAGACCTCTATCATTTTGTTTATATAAAATATTAATTGAATTATAACTTGTGATGTTAATTGTAAACGTTTGTGTATAAATTTACATTTTAGAAAAAATATAATTTTACCTTATCATTGACTGGTGCCGATCTGAAACCGTTGTGACAACGGCACTGGTAGGAGCCCAGGGTGTTAATGCAATCGGCATTCTGTGAGCAAACGGGCTGCAAAAAGGAACATTTAACAATTTATTAAAGAACTTATAATATGAGACATTTTATCAGTGCTGGTATAAGACATTCTAGTGAGGGCTGTTGCGTGTGAAATTGGATGAAATGAAACGATTTCAAAAGACAATGTTGATGTAAAAGGCGGTATAGCAATCAGAGACCATAAATTTGATTAAAATTTTACAGATAATGATACGGAACCCTTCATGTGCGAGTGTGTCTCGCACTTGGCCGGTTTTTTTCCACACATTTTAATGTGTATAATCTATTATTCTTTGATTTATTATTGTTATGATTACTGTTAACACTGAATTACTGACAACGCCACCCCCCATGACGCATTCGTCGACATCTTCGCACTCGTGGTCTCCAATCAGCCTGTGCCCACGTGGACAGCTGCACGTGTACCCACCAGGCAGGTTCGTACACAGCTGCATGAAACCGCATTTCGCTTCACCAGTGAGGCATTCGTCGATATCTGAACAAAACAGATTGTACCTAATTATTGTATAGTTCACCTGATGTTAAGTAATAACCCGCCCATGGACATTTGCAACACCCGTAGTATTGCAAATTATAGTATAAGTAACCATATTTAAATAAAGTGACCCTGGCTACCTCACTCACCAGAGGAAACGCAGAAGTGGTACACTTTCACTTTACGCCGGTCTTCTGTGAGGTCGTGGTACATACCCGGACGGACCTGCCCATTCGTGCAACAATGAACACTGGTACGTGGTCCTACTACCGTCAAAATATACAGTGCATTTGTTTATATAAACTTCATTGTTACAGCTTAGGCAAAGGGCTATAATGGGCGGACTTAATGCCTAATGCATTCTCTACCAGTCAACCCTTGTCATGGTGAAAAGTACACGGCAGATGATAAAAACGTAATAAAACTAAATATAAAAAATAATAAATTTCCTCCGAAATCAATATTTGTAGACAAATATATCCATCATCGTTTTGACCATGAGCGCTGCATAATATTTTAAATGTCGAAATAAAATAAAATTTAATGCGTATTATTCTTAAAGGATAGGCGTAAAGGTAATAAATCAGCATAGATTGCTTGCCATTTTTGTGTCAACTTTTCAATAAATTTTATCACTCCTCAGCACTGTCTTCTTCCTTTTTATATCTCCTACTCATTTACATTTCCGATTGATTAACATTAATCTTTTAATAGCTGAGCTACAGTGCAATAATTACAAATTTAATAACGCATAAAAAATCGTCAATAACTCATCCGGTAATCACTTCAAAGGCCAGCCAAAATCACGATGGTCGCAATAATTATGTAAAAGTTCTTTGGTAATAAGTACAGCCAATACAACACTAGTGTAACAATTCGTTGATAATTTTGAAGTTACTTACCTTGACAGTTATAATCATCGCCCAGTTTATATCCCCATGGACACTTTCTCACCGAGCCCCTTTCAACCTGGGTTATGTCAGGCTCTACGAATTCTTTACCCTCTGCTCCATGACTTACAACCTCGTTGGGGTCTACAGGTGGATATACTGAAATATTAAGGATATTTTGACAACAAATCATATGAATACGAATATATGTTGCACGATATTAGATTGGATAGCGCGAACTTTTAACTTTGTTTTTTTACTATTTCATATCATTGGAACTCGTAATGGCCCCAATTAACACTATACTATTTAACTTTTGCGTATAAGAAGGGCGACTAGTAAATCAGTTTGTTGAGATGCTCAATTACAACAGTGGCTTTGATTTGTCATGTTTAAAAAAACTGAACTTAAATAACAGCCTACATAAGTTGGGACTTATACAGGCTGTTATTTAAGTTTAGTTGTTTAGTCATGGGCGTCTACCATTAAAACAGGACAATTTTAAGAATTGACAATTGTCGTTGCTTAAACAATTTACTCAACAAAATAACTGTAACGCTAAAAAGGACAAAACTTCTTTGCGATTCTTTTTACAAATTTTCAACCGATAGTACATCATCATCGGCATCGAAGCCAAACAAGATTAGGTAACAAAAAACTATAGTACCTACTCGAGATTAAATATTGCACAACTACCTTTGTAAAGAGACAATCGGCTATTTTCGCAAGAAACACTAGTAGAGAGACAGACGGTGTGTGACAGAGAAAGCGCTCTACAAAGCCGAGATTTGCTGATGGTTTCACTCCAGATGTTGATGCAATATTTATCACTTCGTCTGCACTTGCAAGTTAGGCTGCTGATTATTTTACACTTAAATACTTTTGTGTACTTAAATAATTAAAAATAAAGATTACACCGCAAAGCTTCTTGCCGGTTCTTCACTGGACAGGTCTAGTTTAGGGAACCCGTTGTAGTTTTTGACGTTCAATAAGAGCCCAAAATAAGTTTATATTGAATAAAGAAATTTTGACTTTGCCTATTGTCTTTATCTTCGAGTACTGCAATAATTAACAAAGCATGGTCTCAACTTACAAGGTTCGTTTCCATAGCCCAGCGGGAACAGTCCATTGCTTTTAAGGGGGATGCACCGATGCCTGACTTCGTCCAGCTTCCAGTTTGGTGGGCATTCGCAGCGATAGCCGCCTTCCGTGTTTACGCATATCTCGACCGCAGCGCAGTTCGCTTGACCGTTCGTGCATTCGTTTATATCTGTAATACAATCGTGTTGCACAAGTTGATGCTGGTTTAAGAAAAGTAAAAGCTTGTATTGAACATTGATTGCCAAACATCTCGAGCAGCGACATTAAACGCTTATAAGCCATACTTCCATACTAATACTAGCTGACCCGGCAAACGTTGTTTTGCCATATATATTATTTGTAGGGTAGAAAAAAATTTTTGGGGTGGATCACCCTTAACATTTAGGGGGATGAAAAATAGATGTTGTCCGATTCTCCAACATGGCCATTATGCACACAAGATTCACGAAAATCGGTCGAGCCGTTTCGGAGGAGTTCAATTACAAACACTGTGACACGAGAATTTTATATATTAGAAGATTATAAATGCGAAAGTAACTCTATCTGTCTCGCTTTCACTCCAAAACTACTGAACTGATTTAAATGAAATTTGGGACACAGATAGTATAGAGCCTGAGAAAGGACATAGGCTATTGGATATTTTTATTGAAAAAAAGTGTTTAAAGATATTTATTTAAAAGCTTCAACGCGAGCGAAGCCGCGGGCGAGAAGCTAGTTCTTCCATAAATGTGATGTAAATATTCTGGAAATCTACTCTCACAGAGGGTATTAGGACAGTCCACCACGAAAACCCACTGCGGATTGGCGGACTTCACATATCTTCGAAATAGTTTTGAAGTTATACTTCTTTAGGCGCTTTACTAATTCTCAATCGCAGTCGCGAGTTACAGTTCTCAATAATGAATGTAGATAGCGCTTCCATAATTTTATACTATTTATATCCTTTTCCATGTTTTTTTTAATTATTTCATTGTAATAAATTATTTGCATGCAATTAAAAACTATTTTTAAGGATGCCATATAAGCATTACTTCTCACGCGCGTACGTAAGTACAGGAATTTTTTAATTTATTACGAAAATAGGCAAGTTTCTTCACGTTGTTTTCTGAAAGTCGTTGTTAACTGACCACGTGATAAGGTAGTACTTAAAAATAACAATATCATCGGTGCTGGCACTAGCGAGCGCCCAGACATCGAGCGATCACGACTAAATCTACAACTAATTAAGAAAAAAATACGTTTATAAGGTCTTACATGCCGTAAAGATGCACACTAGCTGGCGCCAAGCATTGTTAAAAATACAATACAACGAACGCTTTACCAACTAAGCTAAGCGGCCGATGACCTCACGGCGAGAAAGTCTTGACATCAGCTGTCTACGGTCGTTGCAAGCCAAAATTTTCTAATTTAATAGCGTACCTTCGCATGTAGCAGTCTTCGAATTGTAGTGAAAGCCAACGTCACAAATATTTCTTGGTTTGAACGGCCTCATCGTGAACTTTCGATAGTCTCGATATCCGTAGAAAAAGCCTGAAAAATTGTTATAACGAAAAATGTTTAAACGATATAATTAATTATTTATGTATATATATGTATATATCGTTATGATTGATCATTCATTCATGCAGCACACATTGATTGAAGACTTTTGTCTTCAAAAATTGAGGGATCTTAGACAAGAAGATATGCTGAAGTTTCCCGAACGCTCTCATGGATACGCCGATTGACCTCTGCGTGGAAGTTGGACTAACCGGGACGGACTAAATGTCCTAGGTAAACGTACTCTTCAACAATTTCGACAGTGCTCCCAACAAAAAGGTATAGGGGTAACATGGACATTACACAGAGGCAGTCTATGGGGAGGGCTATGTTCAGCAGTGAACTCAAACAGGCTGAGATGATGATGAGGATAATGTCAGCTGTATGTTATGTTTTAAATGATGATAACTGAAAGTAAAAAATAAAAGCATAAAAGGGTCCGACGGTGATTAAGAAAGGTTATCAATATAATGACGAGCAAGGTTTGCTAAACTACATTTCGTTAACACACAAACAGGCGTTCTATAGCAAAAGTGTTATGTTCGATCATTTAGTGACCTTCATTTGCGGATTGCGCAGAGTATAACAGGCGATGAAGAGCATCGTTCAAAAATATCAACAGAAAGAATTTGTGCTGTAAAAAAGTCAACGCGAGATTCTATATGATATTCGTTCCTTCTAAATTCGTTTTGTTAAATTCTTACTTCGTTCGGTGGTCGAAGATGGTGGGGGCGGAGGTGGCGGTGGCGGCGTCGTCGTGGTGGTGGTTGTCGTAGTGGTCGTTGTGGTGGACGTGGACGTGGTGATGAAAGCGCATGCCCCTGAAGCCAGGTCCCTTCGAAAGCCGGCCGCGCAGTCGCAGAGGTATCCGCCCATGGTGTTTCGGCACACCTCCGTCAGGCCCGAGCAGCTGTGGCGGTTGGTGGCGCACTCGTCGATATCTGACGAAATGTTAACAAGTCAATTTTTTCATTAACGAAAAACAAAACCGACTTCAAATATCTCGCTCTGTATTCATTTTATAATTGATTTTCAGTAGTTCCCTAAGTATCTTTGAAGCCCAAGATCCAATACCAATGAAATTAATATGGGACCACGTGGGAAGCATCGGCATTCAAATAAAAAAAGAATCAACAAAACCGTTTCACTCAGTAGAAAGTTCTGAGGTAATAAACATACAAAAACTTTCTTTTTTAAAGTCGGTTGAAAAAATAATTATTTACACAACGTTATCTAGTCCCAAACTAAGCAAGGCTTATACTATGGATACTAGGTAAACATACTTAAACATGTTTTTCTTTTTTAAATAAATACATGTAATAAATACATCTTACCCAAGCTTTTGATGATATACGAAATTTGGCATACTTTTACACAACGTTATCTAGTCCCAAACTAAGCAAGGCTTATACTATGGATACTAGGTAAACATACTTAAACATGTTTTTCTTTTTTAAATAAATACATGTAATAAATACATCTTACCCAAGCTTTTGATGATATACGAAATTAAGGGTAGTGAAAAAAACCTTTGACAATCTAGTGAACAAGGGTTAAATTATTGTCATTTAGGTTAGGAAGGAAATATTGACCATAATTTTTCGAACATGTATCACATCACTTGATAAGAAATGGGTCCGTGAACAACTCATTACATCCTCTACAATAAGTACTTCGCCTCAAAATATTACATTTACTGAACACTTACCGAAGCAAGCCCCATATTCGTCCATTTCGAAGCCGAACTGACAGTCCGCCGGCTTCGCGTTTATTTTCGTCCACTCGTTCGTCGGGACGTCGTTTGTGTCGACGACAACGGAACCGTCTGGCGCCTTCTCCCCCCTGACTGTAGCGGTCTCCTTCCCCACGTCGACATATATGGAAGGCAGTGTTGGCCACTCTGGATTGTGATCCGTTTCTATTGGGATCTTGTTGCTCGTCTCCGTCATCGGTGCAGACGCTTCTGTCTGAACTGAATCATTTGCCAGTACTCCGGGACGGTGTTCAGGGATAAAATTGTACTCCGGACCGGTGGGTAGACTGCTGAGTGTGTGATTTGGCTCTTCTACTTTTCTGTCATCTGGTATATACGATATTTCGTACTGGTCTGGCTCGGTTGCTTTTGGAGCGGAAGTAGCAGGCGGTTCTAGGGCGAGATCCTTGGACTTTGCTGGCTCCGTGGGTGAGTAACCACCGTTTTCTGGTTGCTCGTTCCTTCTGTCCGTTGTCGACGGTTCGTTGTAGGTTTCTGGTGGTAGGATCGCCTCATGGAAAGCTGGTTCCGGTTTGTTACTGTAAATCGAGTATATGCTGTTGTTGTACACGCTGTCATCTGGACTGACCTCCGTTGGTAATTCAACAGTTTTTTCTGTTATTATTTCCTGACGGGCGGTCGCCGTCACTTCTACAGCCTTCTGTGTCGTTAACTGTGGAGCCTCGCTGCTCGTTGTGGGTTTCGGTGTTGTTGTCGACGTCGTTACGGGTTCAGCTGTTGCTTCAGGTTTAGGAGCTGGTTGTGAGCTATTCGTATTTTTTACATCCATTTCTTCACTGAAATTTAAATACGTGTTCATATAATGATTTTTGTATTGAATTATTGTAAAGCAAATATTATATAATGACATTAGCAGCATAACTATAGACAGTAACATAGGAATTAGTGATCCATTAAAGATATGAATATAGTTTAGTTTTTTTACAGAAACTTGATGATGTATGACACCGCCGCACATGAACATATACAACATGTATATATACGACTATATAAAAGTACAAATTATATTATTCGTGGAGTGGAACAGTAAAACCAGTGGAGTAAGTTTACCATAAATAATAATTTTGTTTTTTATCTAATCGATTACAACACTCTTGATGCTTAATGATAGCATTGTCCATATAGGTCGAAAATTCATTACCGTATATGATCATGACTGTTCAGTTTAAATTGTATGCGTTATGTATATTAGATTATGTCTCTGTAGTGAGTTATAGAATATATTCTCTTCGAATCCGTTATAACGATTACCATGATACCAGAGAGATAATAACAAAAAATCAAAGTAACAACACATTAGCGCAGAACCCATACCTTTAGTATCAAACTAACATCTTATTATTTAAAATTTATGTCCAATTTAGGAACGACAACATCATGAAGACTAAGAACAACTAATGTGTATTAAAAACCGTCTAAGTGCATGTTGGACTCGCGCACGAAGGGTTCCAAACCATTACCTATAAAAACGGCAAAAAAATCATGTCTGTTGTATGGGAACCCCACTTTAATATTTTTTTATTCCGTTTAGTATTTGTTGTTATAGCGCATCAAAAAAAAATATCTGTGAAAATTTCAACTAACTATCGCGGTTCACGAGATACAGTCGGACAGACAGACAGACAGAAAGACATCGGAGTCTTAGTAACAGGGTATCGTTTTTACCCTTAGGGTACGGAACCCTAAAAGAGGGAAGATCGAACTCACGCAGAGTCGTAGTACTCGTACTCATACTCCGGTGCGGGGGTGGTACTGGTCGTGGTAGCTTTGGGCCTGACGCAGCGGAAGGAGCCAGGTATGTTGTGGCACTGGTACTCGGGACCAGCTCGCGCGCAGTTGTGGGTCCCAAGTGCGCACTCGTCGATATCTGAAAGGCGATTTTTTTATTTTTTAACCGCCTTCAAAAAAGGACTCTTTCTCAATTCGACGGTATACATGTTTTTGTTTTATGTGTGTTCGCGGATAACTTCGTCGTTTATGAACCGATTTTGAAGATCCTTTTGATGCCGGAAAGGAGATATCCCAATGGTACCACCATTGGGATATCTCCTGATAAGAAAACCCGAATCTGATGATTGCATCGCAGAGAAATCGAGGGCCATCATTGTATTTTTAAATTGTTTATAGTGCTAATCTTTGCACTTAAGATTGAACATTAAAATATGTAGAAAAAGTGCGAAAAGATTGCCGCCGCTGTGGGAATCGAACCCACGTCTTCGGCATTCGCGGCCTGACGCTCTAGCCACTGAGCTAAACGGCTGGCCGTTTAGCTCAGTGGCTAGTCGTGGGTTCGATTCCCACAGCGGCGGCAATCTTTTCGCACTTTTTCTACATATTTTAACCATCATTGTATGTTATAAGTATTAACAATGTTTTTTAATTTTCTGATTGATATCAGTTTTTTTTGTTAAAAATTATTATTTAATATACTTCTCAAAATAATATAACTTCGTTCCATAGACTAAGAAACCGGTGGCGCAGTTGCTTAGCTATTGGCTTCGGTACCGAAAGTCGCGGATACGATTTCCACACGGGACGAGTGTTTGTCCACAGATAATTGTTTATGATCTGAGCGTTAATTTCCAAAAAGGGATGACTTTTTCTTTATGTAAGGAAGAAAGCGAGCTGGCGGTTCACCTGATGAGTGTGACACCTAAGTGACAACCGCCGCCGACGGACATTTGCAACACCCCTAGGGTTGCAGATGCGTTGCCACCTTATAACAAAGTGGGCCCCAGGTACCTCACTCACCAGACGAAACGCAGAAGTACTCCCACTTGACGCCGGTCTTCTGAGACCGTGGTTCTTACTCGGACGGACCTGCCCATTCGTGTAACAGTTAAACTGCTGCGTGTTCCTACCACCGTAAAACACGTCAGGCAGGCACTATGATATAGCAACATAATGTGATTCACGTCTTGTGCCGACCCCACCTAGATGGCAAGAGGGCAGGAGAAATAATTTTGAACAAAAAATAACAGACTTCAAACAGGAAACTAAAAGCATTGTCAACACCTATAACATTTGAGGATTGCCCTCGATTTCTCTGGGATGGATCTCGTTATCATGATACCACCCTTGGAATATCTCCTTTCCAACAAAAAAAGAATCATCAAAATCGGTTCATAAATGACGAAGTTATCCCCGGACACACATAAAAAATATATATATACGGTCGAATTGAAAAACCTCCTCCTTTTTTGAAGTAGGTTAAAAAGAAGACATAGTTTTGCCTGGACCTATCACGTGTGGGGTTACGCAGCGGCATCTACTTTTGCACGAAGTGGTAGTCTCGTCCGGGGTAGTACCACGACCTCACCATTCCTAGCCCACTTTTCAAAAGTTTCACTAAAGTATCTGCAACCTCTCAGATGTTAGATGCCAATGGGTAGTGGTAACTTTAAATCAAGCGAGCCACCTGCCCGCTGGTCAAATTTTCACATGGAAAGACTTTACACTTTCAGCGATTAGGCTACCAGTCAACAAAGACTTCAACGCTATAAAGAGAAGGTACTAAACGGGCTACTAGTTTATCAATATGGTCAGAAACTACATTAGACATAGAGAGACATGCAAAGAGGTAAATGCATTGCCGCTTTGAAGAGAACTGGGCGGAATCCTTGATCATAACCTCTTTGATGGGTTAATTAACATTGTTTTATTCAATAAAAAAAATTAATTGGACCTCAATTATTTAAGTACACTTTAAAAGAATAAAATAAGATATTTAAAAATTATTTAAACAGACCTTCGTTTCACAACAGATCTCGGTACTGTGGATACAATCTTTTAACGTGATTCCAAACACGTAACGCCTAATAGCCCGTTTTGCGACTCGAATTCTGTGTACTGTGTCTTTCGTGAGCGTCCATGTCACAAAAACCAAATCAGTGTAAAAGGAAATGTATGGTTTGTAATAAGTATACGGTGTACCCGCAGATTTTTTTTTAACCAACCAACATTTAGTACGAACTACCTGTGCCTGGGCTATCTAACTAAGCAAAACACACAATATAATACCGATATTATTCTGAGTGAAACATCAAATGGGAAGCTTCGTAGTCTGGGATAGTTAAATTTAAAAACTAAAATCTCTTCTCTTCACTTTGCTTTATTTTATTTAATGAGTGTGATCATCAATCCATACCTTCGCATCTGCTCGAGGAATGGTGCAGTATGTAGCCGGTGCCGCAGGATATGAACCTGATGCAAAGGTACGAGCCGACTGTGTTGTCGCACCGCTGCGACTGAGCTATACAGTCGTTCTGGTCAGTGGCGCACTCGTTTATGTCTGAAATTGATAGTTATTTGCTTTAATCTTAATCTAACATGTAATACAAATGTACTTCACCCATTATTACTATAAATAAAACAAATGATTTGTCCATCTTTTCATCCATCTGTTCACAGCAGAAAATAACTTATAGACGAATGCACATACAACTTAAAAAAACTAATGAAATATTCGGGATCAAGACATCTACAGCTTGATAGGTAATTAGTACATTAGATTATAACAAACATACGTAAGAAATTAAAAATTCACGAGTACAGTTAAAAAATAAACAATCGATGCGTAAGATCCGATGTCTATTGACGTTCAAGAAAGATGATTGGATCAGGTCCTCCAAGCAGGAACATTGATTCGTTGCTCAACATTTGGGCTTTTTATAATTTGAAAATGGAGCTCTACGCTGACGTGAAAATGAAATTGCTGAATAGTTTTTTGAGCTTCCTCATACGGCCAGCAGTGAAGGACCACGTCTCAGTTCCGTAGGTCATCACCGGCAACACACATTGATTGAAGGCTTTTGCCTTCAAACATTGAGGGATATTAGACGAGAAGATATGCCGAAGTTTCCCGAACGCTGCCCATGCGAGTTGGATTCGCCGATTGACCTCTGCGAAGCTATGGAGCGGGCTATGCTCAGTATTTCTCTGCGTGATAGAGTTCCTAACGAAGACATCCACAGTAGAACCAAGGTAACCGACATAGCTCAGAGGATTAGCAAGCTGAAGTGGCGATGGGCCGGCCATTTAGCTCGTAGAACCGATAACCGTTGGGGAAGAAAGGTTCTCGAGTGGCAGCCTCGTACTGGCCATCGCAGTGTTGGACGCCCCCCCTCCCACTAGATGGTGTGACGACCTGTGCAAATGTGCGGGAAGTAGATGAAAATAGGTGGCTCAGGATCGTACTTCGTGGCAGTCTATGGGGGAAGTGTTCAGCAGTGGACTCAAACAGGCTAATATGATGGTGATGATGATGAACAGTTTTTTAGGTGAATCAATAAATTTTAAATACGTAACTAAATAAAAAGACGTAATAGCAATAAAGATTAAGAACAATAAAGAAAAAATAATATATACACAATTAAGAATATACAATTAAGAATATGACATAATTTTCTGTGGAAACGCTAAAATTGACGGTTTATTACAAATTGCTATAATGATTTGACATAAATTGTCCTTACCAACACAAGCTCCAGTGGTTGAGTCCAGTTCAAAACCTAGTTTACAGTGGCACTCGTGGCTGCCATAAGTATTACGACAGGTTTGATATTGATCGCAGATGTGAGTGCCTTCAACGCATTCGTCGATATCTGTAACATTAATTTTGGGAATATATATTGGGTACTATTAATAAGAGCAAAAATTTGTTACTGCTATTAGATCAAGTTGTTTACTTTTTATTATGAACGGTAGCCCTCGGTTGAATTCGTGTTACGAGCAAATTTAGTTCAAATTCCCGTGTCCGTATAGATAAAAATGTAAATTGCACTTAAATGTAATTAACACCCCACAACTAAGTGTAATAAAACATCGCGACAATGTGTCCATGCATCAAAACATAATAAAATATTTCCATGTATTTACTCTGAGGACGAAGACTATCCCATGATTCTCATGTTGTGCCGACACCACATATGAGTAGCTGTTATAGGGGCAGGGGACAGAAAAAAAAATTCAAATACAGATCGATGATGTTACCTTCACACTCATGAGAAGCGGTGTGATATCTTAAGCCATCTGAACATTTTTTATTCAAATCAGTGCTGAAAGCAAAAAAAGAAAATACAGTGATATAATCAATGCGACAAGTATTTCGATTTCATAGTATTTTCGACTATTTTTGACGTATAAGTTGGAGTCTCTTGAATTGCAGTCACTTGTTTCAGCAATCTTCACAAGGGAGTATCTTCAAGGCAAAAGAGTACTGAGCTAGTGCCTACCTACCTTCTCAAGCTACATCTCTACTTACCGTAGTAAATAGAATGGCACCATCAAATGTTTATCCCTACTTAACATCGTAAGAAGAGAGATCCGTCTTAACTACATCTCTACGTACCACCTTGGGCAGAGAGGTACCACCTATATCTCTTCTTACCGTAGTAAGTCTCTAATCTAGGTAACATTCAAGACCACACCTCTATTAACCATTGGACGTAAAGAGATAACATTTAAGACATCTGTGTGTGTCATAGTTAGTACAGAGATACTACATAAGACTAAGGCTCTACTTACCGTAGTAAGTAGAGAGGCACCGCCAAAGACCTCTTTATGTCACTCTTACTCTATATAGTATCATCTGAGAATTCATAGAGATGAAGTGGAAATAGATTCTTACCATCGGAAGTTGAAATGTAGTCATAGATGATACTATACTGCCTTATGAAGTAGGATGGCAGTCATGTATGACATATTACCATTTCTTGTACGGCTCTAAATTCATTAATTCTTTGAAAAGCTTTGAACGGATTGTCTACGAATACAAAACCATTCTTCTTCCGACTACTTCCCGGATATTGTGATCTGCTTACATAATGGTGAATAACTATTGAGTTAAACTGACTACTGACAATTAGTAGAGAGTAAATATTGGCAACAAACTATTCTAGTCTAAATCAATTGGGTTTTTGCTTAGTTTTTACTGAGTTAGTTAATACATCATATTTATTCTTACCACGTCTTTGTTGGAAGAGAGACGGGATGAGAATACAGGACCGATCGATACTGTAACACAAATATACGCTCACCTCGACACCTCGGAAATCGCTCTGCAGTTATACTCTCCCGGCAAATTGACACACTGCTGTCCAGGCTTGCAGATGCCTTCTTCTTCTTCACACTCATTGATATCTGAATTAAAAGGAAGATTAAAATTAAGCCTACCGTCCAGTACATAGTGAGCGTTTATTTTTAGTTTTTATTGAATCCTTCATTGTAGAAATATTGAGGCTATACAAATATTCATAAGGCTTTTGAGTCGTTTAAATATTATCTATAACCTCAGTTTTTACCACTACCGTCTGTTACTGAATTTACTCTAATTAATGTAATATGTAATTTAATAATTTTATGTATTTATTACCTTCACATTTATTGGTATTTGGGTCGATTTTGAAGCCAGGCGGGCCAGTGCTTGGAAACCTTGTCTTGGCAGTAAAAGGAACCCCTGGTGTTGATACAAAACTGGGAAATTACGTTGCAGTCGTCTTTGTGCGTGGCACATTCATCAACGTCTGTAAAAAAAAAACAGAAATTACATAGCGATTCTTAGTTTGGTAAGTCAGTGAGTAATTATGGTTTAAGAAATGCAATATTTTATTAATTGCTGCACTGATCGCCGCTATCGTTCTATTAATCGCTACAGATAAATTTTATTTTATAGACAAAAATATTAGCAGTCAATGAAATGGTACTAACTGATTTCGATTTCTCTTAGGACACTTTTTAAAGCACCTGTATAGAAGTAGCCGTGTTTTGAAACATAATTAGTCAATGTTTTATATAGATCTTTGAGAAGTAGATATTTCACAGGACTCACCTTCGCACTCTTCGTTCAAACCGCCTTTGAATCCCGGGGGACAGCGATCCTCGGTTGCAGAATGCGGTTTCTTGGGCAAGTTGGCCGGATCCCCGGTTACCCCCCCGCATTTGTACGCGCCCACTGTGTTCTCGCAAAGGTACGGAGGGCATGGCGGTTGCGGTAGCTCGCACTCGTTTATATCTGGAAAACGAGCGTAAATTATCACATGAAACAATAACCCGACTACATTAAAATACTATTCCTTTCTGTATTTTTTCGCAGATGCCATATTGAAATAATATACTCTAAGTTACATCCACAACAGAGATGAATCAAATGACAACTTGTACATACAGACACCCAAACATTACCCGGCTTCGGCAGTGGGATGATTAAACATGAGAAGCTATTTAACCCCTATGTTAATGGGGGTAGACAGGATTTTTAGTCAATCTTTTACATAATTACTGTGGATACTAAATTCAACGGACTGCTTTATCCGTCAACCTTACGTGACACATATCTCTTACGACTAATCAACTATTCAATGATGTTTAAAGAAAGAGCGCACATGTCCATACTGAGCGGCGTTTAAAAATTGTTCCGCTTTATAGTTTCGTTGCGCTTGTGCCATATCTACCTCGTATTTATATATAACATCGTTGACTCTATTACAGTTAGTCGTGGTTATTGACTTAATTTTCATAAATTATGATACAGTTGCTAGCGTTGATGCAGATTTATAATTATTGTTACAGTTGTTAGAGTTGATACACTTGTTCAAATTGATACAGTTTTATAATTATTGATACAGTCGTAATGATACAGTTATGGCCTTTATAATACCCGTCAGTACAGAATATAACAACTTACCATCGCAGGCGTTGTTGAGAAGATTCTTCGCGAACCCAGGCGGACATTGTCCCTTCTCAGAGTTATTGATCTTCTTCATTGGGATACATTTGTACGAGCCCTGTATGTTCACGCATTGAGTGTTCGGCAGGCATACGGGCGGGTCCAAAACGCACTCGTCAATATCTATGAAAATTGTTCGGCCTTATAATTTAGTTTTATCCCTTTGGGAAGCTAGTTAAAAATAACTTGCAAGACAAAATATGATGAGCAGTGAGACAAGTAAAACGGACAGAAATGTAAGTTCAAGATTTCATCAGTACAATCTGACTTATCAGTTACCTTCACAAGACTTCCCGTCAGCCATTAGCCGATATCCTCTCCTGCAAGAGCATTTAACTGTTACTCCGTTGTCGTTGCACTTGTGCTGGCAAGGGTTGTGTGGCTTACACCTGTTCTTTGTGACCTGAAAAGCATACATGTATCAGCCTATACATGTCCCACAGTTGGGCAAAGGCCTCCTCTGTATAAGGGCATAGTCCACCACGCGGCCCCACTGCGGATTGGCGGACTTCACATATCTTCGAAATATTTCATTGGTGCCGGCGCCAGGGAACGAACTCAGGTTGCTCGAGTATATTGAATTAAAGACAAACGCCCTATAATATTTCAAAGAAATAAGGTAAATAAATAACCTCACGAATCGATAACTATAGATACTATAACATAGACAGTGAAAGTAGCGATTATTACAGTGAAAAGAAACTTTTAACCGTAAATAGCTGTAAAAACGATGATCGATAAAAACGATGAGAAGGTGGCAAGTGAGCTAGTGGTTAAACTAAGTGATAACCACCGTCCATTGACATGAGCATTACCCGTAGGGTGGCAGATGCGTCGCAACCTTTTGGCACGCAAGGCAGACAAGGTGGGCCCCGGCTCACCAGACGAAACGCAGAAGTATGACACTTCCACTTTCACCAGGTCTTATATGAGGTCGTGTGTACTTACCCGGACCTGCCCATTGATGCAACAGAAGACTGTCGTGTGGACCACAGTTAAAACCAGTGTATGACGTATTATGCTATGATAAAGCTGGTGATTTGGAACACTACTTGCGTTTCTCGAACAGTGGCAGATGTACGATTTGGTAGTCTGATGAGATGTTGTATGCTTTTAACATACACAACAGGCTTCGTAATCGTGAAGTGATTCATTAATAGGATTTTGATGGTAATTCTGTATTATGTAATAATACCACACAGGCTAGTAATCATCACTTGATAGTACAAAACAAAGTCGTCCCGCTATCTGCCTGTCCCCATGTATGCGTAGATCTTTCAAACTACGCAACGGATCGTGATGTGGTATTTCTTACTAGATAGAGTAATTCACGAGGAAGGTTCAAATATTCAGTATAATACATTGCACCCGTGCCAAGCAGAGGCGGATCGCTAGTAAACTATAAACCGGTGACTCCGTGGCGCAGTCGTCAAGGTATTGGCTTCTGTATCGGGGGTCGTGGGTTCGATTCCCACACAGGACAACTATTTGTGTGTGTGTGACCCACAGATAGTTGTTTCGCATTCGCAAAAAAAAAAAAAAAAAAAAAAGAAAAACCGCTCTCACCTCCATACAATTCCTTCCGTCGGACATCAGCATAAATCCAGGATTGCACTGGCACTTGTATGAGCCAGGTATAGGAATGCAGTGGTGGGCGCAGAGCTCGTTCGGGGCGAAGTCGTCGCACACCGAAATTAGATCTAGAAGAAGTGACGTGAAGTGACGTGAAGTGACGTGAAGTGACGTGAAGTGACGTGAAGTGAGAAGGTGGTAAGCGGGATAGCGGTTCGACTGATGTTAAGTGACAGCAGCCGTCCACGGAATTCTGCAACACCCGTAGGACTGCAGACGCGTTGCCACCTTTTAATAAAGTGGACCCGGCTAACGCACCAACCAAATGAAACGCCGAAGTATAACACTTCCACTTCGCGCTGGTCTTCTTTGAGATCGCGGTAGTTCCCCGATCGAGCATTACTAGTGGCCCTACCACAGTCCCTTTTTGAAACCTTTTCTCTCAGGCACTTTACATACTTTTACAAAGCTTATTTCATTGCAAGGCAGTCCAAGTTAATTAAAAATAAAGAAACAGTTGAGAAATTGAATTGTCAAAGACCTTACAGATATAGAATCTAAAACGAAGAAGAAGAAGCAACGTTTATTTAAAAGATCTGCTTTCGTTACGAGTAGCCATTCCCTGTTTATTCTACTTGCTCCGAAGACTTGGAATTTAATGCAATCAAAGTCAGAATATTCGGACAGTGGTCGCACAATATTCTGAGATTTGTCTAAATTTATCAGCAAAGTTATTTATGATTAGATCTAAAATACTTCTCACGTTTTGGGAGTTAATAACCGACCCTTTTAGAGTTAAGAGATGCGAGATCTTGTTGTTGAACTCACCATCTTCCAAAGGCTTTCGCGTCACGATCCCGTTACCAGCTCGGCGAGTAACCCCTTCGCTCTCCCCAGACTGCTTGGCCGATTTCTGGAAACGAGAGCCCATTATAGCGCCGCGCCGAATGCCCATACGATTGCACGCATAACTAGGTACTGAATTACGTGTAAGCAGTCATAATTTTTTTTCTATGTAAGGACGTGGTAAACGAGCTGGCGGTTCACTGGATGTTAAGTGATAATCGCCAGCCCATGGACATTTGCAACACCCGTAGGCTTGCAGATGCGTTGCCACCTCTTAACAATGTGGGTCCCGGCTACCTCACTCACGTGATACAACAACAAAATACAAAATTTTATCACATTTGGTTGTACCCATAGAAATATAGCAATATTTTTTGCTTGTTCGTTTTAAGGGTTTCGTACCCAAACGGTAAAACGGGACCCCAAGTGCGCGAGTCCCACTCGCACTTGGCCGGATTTTTTCGTTTTATAACAGCGTTTTTTTTTTTCGTTTAAAAACAGTTATTCCAATCGCAATTTATGATTCAAATCGACCACTGGCATCGTTTAAGTTAAATTCCTTTTCTGAAACCACATTCGATGTCATTTCGACAGTTCCGACACCTTTGATGAATTGCCCCTTACCTGACAACATTGGTTGAAGGCATCCCCTGCTAGTAGATGCTCCGCACTGGTTCCGCGTGCCCTCGCCGCGCAAAATCTCGTGCCCCCCGCGACCCCAGCCGCCGAACCCTTAATGCACTCATCGCAGCATTTCTAGAAGAAAAACCACCTTAACTCCACCGTGCGGGCAATCTAGCGTAACATTGAGAAAATCTGTGTTGTACGGTTGTTAGCAGTTTCATCCTTCTTTTGAAATGCAAAAATGTAGGAGGTACTCAATTATTCTGATACATGTTTTTTTAGGGTTCCCCAAAGGGTAAAACTATTACTAAGACTTCGCTTTCTGTCTGTCTGTCCGTCTGTCACCAGGCTGTATCTCACGAACCGTGACAGTTAGACAGTTGAAATTTTCACAGATGATGTATTTCTGTTGCCGCTATGATACTAAAAAAAAACAGAATAAAACACTATTTATTTATAGATAATTGTACGGAACCGTCTCGTACTTGGCAGGTTTTTTTAGGTTGTTTGCCTCAGAACTCCGTCGTTTATACTGTGGTAGGTCGACGGAGCGGACTTCGCTGTTTCTCGAATGCGCAGGTCCGTCCGGGAAAGTACCACCAACTCACAGAAGACGGGTGTGAAGTGGAGGTGTTACACTTTTGCCTTTCCAGAGAGTGTGGTAACCGGGGCCCACTTTATTGATGACAACGCATTTGTAGTCCTATGGGTGCTCTAAATATCAGAGTCCATGGGCAGTGGTTATCACTTAACATCAGATTTTTTTTAATGTAAAAAGTTGCCAAATGTGCAGACGGTTCACCTGATGTTAAGTGAATACCGCCGCCCATGGACATCTGCTACACCCGAGGATTCCAAATGCGTTGACGACCTTTTGAAAATTGGGCCCCGACCACCTCACTGACCAGACGAAACGCGAAAGTATTATACTTCCACTAGCCGCTCTTCTGTAAGGTTGTGGTACTTACCCAGACGAGCCTGCCCATTCGTGCAACAGCCGAGACTGCTGCGTGGCCCTACCACCGTAAATGAAAAGATGATCCGCTAGCTCCCTTTCCATCCTCTTGCGTAAAAAACACAGACTTTTTTGGCATATTATCCCATGATAGTGAGGCTGTTATATCTGTATCTCAGAGGAAAAGAGCATTATGCGACAAAACACAAATTTTACATGACAGTCACAAAATAGTATACAGTAAAATTAACAGATCAATTTCATTTAACAAATTATTCGGCTGTATAAACCATCGTTCACTATCACAAAGGAGTTCTGAATTTAAAAAAAAAAACACGAAACATTCTTCGATTTTTCTTAATGTTTACAATAGAAATGATAGTTTTATCAGTAAATTCATCAGTAAATAACAATCCGAGCATGTTACTGAAATCGAACCAGCGAACGCAGCTGAGATAATACCAATATAATCAATAAACTAGTTTTTTAGACCGTTCTTTTGGCGAGTTTGGAAAAATTATGAGAGAAAAATTTTAAGATGTGCGCGCACGCCGACTCTAAAAAAACATGATGCATGCTTACCTATTTAATCTTGGCAAGCGATAACAACTTTTTGACATTTACAAATTCCAAGTTATTTAAATAAACTGTTATCAAATGCATTTAATGTCTTTACGCTAAAGAAGCATGACTTCATGCAACATCTTTCGTACGTGCATAAGTTACACATCCTTTTTATGTTTATTCCTTTGGTCAATTTTTTTTTTCGAAAATCAGCATTGCACTTTTTACTGCAACATTCTGCCGAGTGACTTTTTGGCATAAACTACGATGTATATTAGACACACGGTAAAATTATACATATTGTAGGTTTATGCTCTATGTCCAATTCTTTTATTGTTAAAAGTGAGGGGTGTGTTTTGTGTCGAATAAAGAAAAGAAAGAATTCTTTCTTAAAATAATTCTGAATCATGTTCAATTTACGCGAATATTACTATTCAGGGAATAAATGCAGCTAGCATTCCTGGCATCACGCCGCGTGAGCTATCTTTGTTAGAAAATATGTAAGTTAGCTGATATTTAAAATTGTAAATATTTTTGTTTATTAAATTATGATTTGAGAGAAAGTTCAGTAGCGGAGTAAAGTGGAGCAAAGACAATCAGGATAGCGAAAGTAAACAGTTTCACTACACCCAGTAACCGCGCTATCTCGAATATGTTATCAGTGCAACGGGCAGTTGATAAAAGATTCCTAATTACCCAGTTACCGAGTGTTTGGTTAGGTGATACTGGGAACTTTAGGTCACTGTTGCACCATATATGCTATTAACGGATTTCGTAGAAAGTTATAAACTGGGAATCTACAAAAAATCTGCAATAAAGCGATGGCTGTTATGACTTTTAAAGTATATAAACATTGTCGCATTGTATAAGGTGTGGATTAAATACCTTAGATATAGCGGCGGAAGATTGAAATCCGCTAGAGTTCTGATGAACAAGGCACGATTACAAAGATGTCACAAGTGTTTTACCTATCATTATGAACAAACTATTCAAGCAACTAGCTAAACGCATCAGAGATAAACTGTACTAATTTATTAGTCATCAAATTTATTTCAACCTCTTTAATACATTCACTATACTTCAACTGTCAACAATCTTTATAAATTAGCAACTTGTAACCAATTCTCAATTACTAATATTCAATGTTGTTCAAATTTACTAAAGAATTGAGACCTCCTAGATTAGTTGAACGCAGATTTATGATAACTGCTTACTGTCTTATTCTGACATATTCTATTATATGCATGCTCATCTAGGGAAGTACCACGGCCTCACAGGACATCAGATTGAAGTGGTATTTATACTTTTGCGATTCGCCAGGTGAGTAAGGTAACCGGTGCTATAGATGACCACGGATATGCATTGTCTGATTAAATTAATCAGCTACAACAGGTGAACTGACAAACCTCGTTCTTTTTCTTGACAATGAATGCCGTAGAGCATTCGAAACGTCGGTTGAATTTTAAATGAGCCGCGGTAAAAACAGTACAATATTTTAAAAACTTATTATCATTAATTTAAATAGTCAAAGAAAAGTTCAACATTGACCCATTACTGCATTGGACCCAGTGAACACTAATAAAACATGGAAGCCGCACATTCATACAAAAGATTGTTAATAAATAGCACCACAACTCTCACTGACAGTTATCACGCGCTGTCAAACAAAAATGAACTTATTTGTTAATTGAACTAAGTCTACATCCCTAAAACAGCCTCGCGGTACGGTTTGTAAGCCCCACGCCGTCACGGTATAGTTTTTCATTATGTCATTTTGGAGCGACTATAATGCTTCCATATTGTTTATTTGAGTTCACTTTTTTGACCCCAGTTTTCGTATAGTGCCGCTACTTCCATTCTTACCTTTGTTGCGTCATTCGTTGACTTGCAGGTTTTTGAGTCTCTTGCCAATTCTATGCCGGTTTCGCAGTCATGCATCTTCCTAGAAAAAGAGATGTAAATAAATACGCAGAATCTGTATGAATATGGAAGAGGAGAAAGATATAGGTCCTATGCAATTTTCACCAAAAAATGTATACGGCGTGGTACCACCATAAACGTGACACATTCTCATCTGCATTTTATCGTATTTTTTTTTTTAAATAGACAGCCTAATTCCTAAGTGCAATATCCAGCCTATACATGAGCCACTTCTAGGCAAAGGCCTCTTCTGTATCAGAAGGTATCAGGGCATAGTTCGCCATGCGGTACCACTGCGGATTGGCTGCCTACACATATCTTCGAAATATATTTTTTGTTATTATTTCGAAAATATGCATATTGTGGTAGATTTGATCGTTAAAGATAGCTTAAATCATGCTATTGGCGTGTGATTGTTGCACGAACGGGCAGGCACGTTGGCGGAACTAGCATAGCCTCCATTCCTCCATTCCTCCTTATTGGGATATCATCCTTATTGGGCCATGCCAACCCCGTTGTGACCGTCACAGTAATCTGTGTCTTTTTTGTATCAGCAGAATAGTTAAAAAAAATACTCTGTTCAGAGATACATGGGGGAAGACAAGACAAGATAAAACATGAATTGTGATAACTTATGTGGAGTTAAACCCACTAGGTGGCCAAGTATTCGTAATCAAAGTCAAAGTCAAAGTATATTTATTCAATATAGGCCTAACTTATTGAACGTCAACAAAAACCCGGTTCACTAAGCTAAAACTGCACAGAGAAGAACCGGCAGGAAACTGCGGTCTTGTTCTTTTGTTATTTTTTTTTATGCAATTATACACACACTTATTTAGGTATAAAATCAGCAGTAGCCAGGGGTCTTGCAAGTGCAGAGCAAGAGTCATTTCCAAACATCCTTGTCCTCAATGTATTCTTGGATATTATAGTAGGCCCTTGCCATTAAGGTAGCTTTGACAAATTGTTTGAAATTGCTTATGGATGTTACCTATTTTATTATAAAAATTGATGCATCTTCCAAGAAACGGCTTTCTGGTTTTAGCCAATATAAACTCGGTACTTCCAGAGTGTCACCACGGCCCCGACGCGAACAACAACAACAACTAATAACAACTATATTCATACATTAACGCAACACATCATCATCATCATAGCCATTTAGTACTAATATTATTATCTAGATGTCACTTCACGCACATAAAGAAATCACTTCAAATATTAACTTTGTTATTTCGGAAAGGACCACGCGACAAAGGACGCTTTAGTATATTCTAAGCTTCCAGACTATAGATTCGTGATTATATTTTTCTCTCAGTTTTTAATTTCTAAAAAATCTTAATGTTTCGCTAATCACAAATAAATAGCGGCCTTGATTTTATCATCAATATGCAGTGATGGAGAAATGCCAAAATTATAAAAAATATTCTCATTTTTTTTTAATCGCCACTGCCTGTTTCAGTCAGGTATGAGTGCACTAAAATATGCAATCTTGTATACAATACAACAATACACGCTGTTATATAAAAATAATGCTCGACCTAATTATAATGCAACAATGTAATGCAATTTCCGTTAGCAAAATCCCATAGGAATTCCAGCTACATTATTTTTAACCGTTAATATTCAGTAACGTATACTTTGTAGTGTAAACATTGTTTGGCAGTTGCCTTTTATAAATTATACAGGGCAACATATAAAATATTTTCTTTTATTATTATTTCAAAAATATTCAGGTTTCCTCACGATGTTTTAATCTAATCTGTTCAGCGCTGAGCTCGTGATAAGTCAGCACTTAAAGTTAAAAACTTCATTGCGGCACCACCGGGGATCGAACTCAGGTTGCTCGAGTATATTGAATAAAAGGCGAGCGCCTGGACAATGAGCTATCACGGCATTCCCTTATACAATTTTATTTGTAGTATTCAATATATGGGATAGTTTAAAGGTCATAATCATAACATATAGGTATATCATTGCCCACAATATAACATACATTTAGTTCTACAGCTATTCTCTGTAGTTTATTCAAACAATTGTGACATCTTATCATTTGCTGTCTTATTTTTAAACACAAATACTTTCCGCCCGTGGGAATCAAACCTACAACCCTCACTTTTTGTCGTAGGTTCGATTCTTGCTTGACAAATGTGACACCAAGCCCTTCGCCCCATCTCAAACGCTGAACAAGACAATTTGTCTTTATCTCTCTTCTTAACTAAACTCTTTAAAGTTTAACAGCTTGTTCGTACTAATGGATATGATCAATCGAAATTTTATATATATATATATATTTGATCAATCGAAAGTTCAAACCATTGGTCCTACTAACAGCTTCAGTACATTGGTACCGCGCGCCATCTGCCGAGCTTATCACTTAATTACCACTTAAAGCTCGAAGTCATTATATTCGGCGGGACAGATATGAAATAAAATTTACATAGTCGAATTAACGAAGCAATAATTGCCTTTAAATTGCTTTGATGATTACCGGCCGCCGTTTTTCCCATGGCCAGTAACGGTTTGCAGAGTTTTTGTATTTAAAGTGTAATACCGATGCAGCAGCGATGTACTAGCGGGACGGTCTATGACCATAGGGTCAAATCCTGGAGTTACATAAAGTTTATAGCAAAATTAACAATTCTCTTTTCTAAATAAAACGGTCTGAAGCGAAAACAGAGAAATATGCACATATTCTCGCTTATATCAAAGAGACTTCAATAAGAAATATGATAGATCTTCCCATAAATGTCATAATTACTTCTATAGAAGTAGTGAAGTGGCCAGGACCATTCGAAAATGAGAAGCTTAATTGATGTATTCTCCATTTTTAGGGTATCGTACCAAAAGGATAAAACGGGACTCTATTACTAAGTCTTGTTGTCTATTCGTCTGTCACTAGACTGTATCTCATGAACCGTGATAGTAAGACAGTTGAAATTGTCACAGATGATGTATTTCTGTTGCTGCTATAACAACAATGGACTGTGGTAGGGCCACGCAGCAGCCTCGGCTGTTGCACGAATGGGCAGTCTCGTCCGGGTAAGTACCAGGATCTCACAGAAGACCGGCGTAAAGTGGAAGTATGAAAAATACTTTCACGTTTCGTCTGGTGAGTGAGGTAGCCGGAGCCCAATTTTCAAAAGGTTGTCAACGCATCTGTAACCCTCGGGTGTGTGTCAGCAGATGTCCATGGGCGGCGGTATTCACTTAAAATGAGGTGAACCGCCTGCTCGCTTGACATAAAAATTTTTTTTTTGCTTTTGACAGGCTGTATATTACTTGTTTCTTGCTTACTGAAAGTATTCTTTACAGCACTGATCCATCGCGAAGATGCAAAGCGTGCTGAAGGTAGGCGACACGTCCGGCGGCACTGATGAGGAGCAGTCGTCGGAGGTGTGGTTCCTGGCGTAAGAAGTGCCCTGGTTGCAGCACAGCTGCGTGGTCTCCGCCATTTGGTCAGCAAGCGAACCTTGGAAAGGAAAATAAAACAGGATATTATATACAAATACTCCTTACTATCCTTACTAATATTATAAAGGCGAAAGTTTGTATATATGGATGGATGTTTGTTACTCTTTCACGCAAAAACTACTGACTAGATTTTCATGAAACTTGACAATATTATAGCTTATACATCAGAATGACACAAGGGCTATCATTTATAAAGATTTTGTGTGAACTGTCCAAAATATAGGTAATGATAGGTGTCAACTAAGTAGGAATAAGTTCAGTTATCTGAGAGATATTCTGTTGTAAAATAAAAATCTCATTGTTATTTCCCTTTGGCTGCGCGGGAGGAGTCGTGGTTAACAGCTAGTAGAAAATAATAATAAGAAGCATTGCTTCAAACAATGTAGAATAAAGACGGTACGATTTTCGTCGGTGTGGCAATCAGCCGTTTAGCTTAGTGGCCAAAGCGTGAGGCCGCTAGGGCCGAAGACGTGGCTTCGATTCCCAAAGCGGCGGCAATCTTTTCGTAGTTTTTCTTCAAATTTTAAAATAATAAATAACAAATACTTCGGAACATTTTTTACACAATGTTATCTAGTCCCGATTTAAGCAAAACTTGTACTATGGGTGCTAGGTAACTGATATACATACTGAACAGTACTTTTCTTTTTTTTTTTGTGTTTTTAAAAAACATTGCCCTTACTTTGGGATAACATTATCCTGTGTTGTAAGGACGTTTTTATAAACATAAATTTTACGCGGACAAACACCCAGATGCGGAACAACTATCTGTGAGTCACACAAGTAGAAGTCCCGTGTGGGAATCGAACCCACGACCCCCGACGCCGAAGCCAATACCTTGGCGAATGCGCCACGGATTCTTATCCACGGAGTCCTTTATATATAAACACCCAGACATTAGAAACGCTATGGTCATCACACAATATTTTTCCAGTAGTGGGGATTGAACCCACACCCTGTGGCTCAAAAGACAGGGTCACTATCCACAACGTCAAATATGTCAGGAGACAGAACGTATTAAAAGTCCTTTCTGTATTCTGAACTTATGTCTTACTCTCACTGCTTGGAGAAGCCGCCCACCTTTTTCACAAATTTTCGGCTTCAAGCCTAGCATTGCATGGTTTCATTTAACATGATACGTGTATAAAATAAAATTCGTATTATAGCGTAAATCATCTACCGTTTTAGATTAATAAGTCACTATCCTTCCGCCCTTTTATAACCTAAGTAAAGTAAAGTAACAGCCTATAAATGTCCCACTGCTGGGCAAAGGCCTCCTCTGTACCAGAGGGTACCAGGGCATAGTCCACCACACGGCCCCACTGCGGATTAGCGGACTTCACATATGTCCGAAATATTTTTTGTTATTATTTCGAAAGTATGCAGGTTTCCTCACGATGTTTTCCTTCACCGCCGATCACGTGATAAGTGAGCACTTAAAATTAACAATTTTATTGTTGCTGGCACCGGGGATCGAACTCAGGTTGTTCGAGTAAATCGAATTACAGGCGAGCCCGGACACTGAGGGAGTACCTATCACGGTTCTATTTTATAACCTAGTTGGGCATTTATTTTCATCCCAAGTCCTTATACATCCCAAGAAAGGAATCATTTTCAATATGGTATTGGCTAGGTTTGTTACGACCAGCTGCCAGCCTTACTTCAACCCTTAGTAAAGTATGAAAAACAACAACTTTCTAACTAAAACAAAATTATAAGGAAAGAATTCTTGAATCTAGGATCTCTTTTAACATACCAATTAAAGACCATGGACTCACCAAAATTTCGTGCCATGAGAAGACATCCCAGTGGCTAGGTGTTAAAAAAAGCTGAATAAAATCTGATGACATTCTGTTTAAGATAATCGATACCCTTATAAACAAGGGCAAAAACTTTTGGTTTTGCGGATGAATATATAAGACGTTAAATTAAGTCATATTTCAAAAACCAAAGCGACACCTTATATTTTCAAAATCGTCTAATTTTGATAGTACAATTCATTGGCTGTGAGCACACAGGAAGGAACAGTTTGGTTAAGGTAAAAAAACATATGTTAACTCGATATTTTTATGTAAATTTTACAGTTTTTACAGTTGTTTGGTGATTACTTAAAATATAATTCATGTTTCAACGCTAAACTTTTTATTTATTATTTAATATTTAACTTTATTATTTAATTTTGAATTTTAATATTTAAAACTAGTTTCATTTAAAAATATTTAAGGCCATTCATGACAAAGAGTAAATCCAGTTCGAGCGTCGATCCCAATCCCGTATACACGGACTCACCATAGGCACCCCTGTTCGAACAAACAAAGACCGTGCACAACACTAGCCACCACATCTTCATAATATCAATTCACGAACTATAAATCCAGTATCGATAACACTAATCACAGGCCAACACTACACCAACTATCGATACATATCGATTGGCATTCGGCTTCGTTCACGGGCACAACCCACGTATCCTTAGCACGGACGCGCTGTGCAGGCAGGAGTGCGGCGTGCGCGCACGCAACTCGGTCTATTTCGGTCGCGTGTAAATGCACCCGTCTCTCTCTGGCCAAAGATCATGTCGCGCAGACACGGCGATAGGCAATTTGTCCTGATGGTGGGTGATCATTTAACTAAATACGGTAGCGTTTCGGAATAGCACGTTTGTACAGCGGAATTTTAATGGAGGCCCTACAATGTGAGCTTCCATTTTGGTTCATAATAGTATTCGCAAGTTAATCAGTAATTAATTAAGACAATTAATAACTTCGATTGCAAGTGCGAACGAATGAGGTGCTATCAATTACAGTAAACAAAATTTGCATTAGATTTTACTAGACAGTGGAAATGTTGTGGTATCGCTGTAAATCTTTCTTGTAATCATTGTCGTGATAGCAGTATCCGGGCACACGATTAATCATGCAACCTGAGTTCAAATCCGCTACCTGCCCCAATGAAATTGTGAGTTAGTGCTGACTTATCACTTGTCCATCGGTCAGGAAAATCATTTTGTAGAAACCTACATATTTTTGAAATAATAACAAAACTATTTCTTACGTATTTTAGGTCAGTCAATCCGTAGTGGGGTGGCGTGGTAGATTATCCCCTAATATTCTCTGTACCGAGGAGGCTTTTGCGTCGTAAATGAATAGCGTTCGTTAAATTTGAAACCTTCCTAAAAGAACCATAAGTTCGTTTCATAGTATTTAAAGTGCAAGGCCACATCAATGTAAATGAAAAATACATGTAATATACAATTTAGTACGCTAAGTGTTTTCGTAGTTTAATTGCATGCAGACCTTTATCATAAACCCCTTTCCAGTAGACCCCACCGATGATCAAAGTGATGTAAATGTTACAAACTAATTATGTGGTGCCAGGGCCACGCAGCATCCTCGGCTGTTGCACGAATGGGCAGGCTCGTCCGGGTAAGTACCACAACCTCGTAGAAGACCGGCGTAAAGTGGAAGTATTTTACTTTCACGTTTCATCTGGCGAGTGAGGTGGCCGGAGCCCAATTTTCAAAAGGTTGTCAACACATTTGGAACACCCTAGGGGTGTAACAGATGTCCATGGGCGGTGGTATTCACTTAACATCAGGTGTACCGTCTGCTCGTTTGGGAACTTCTCACATAAAAAACTAATTATGTATGAGTCTAATACGAAAGGAAACTTTTTCGAAAAAATTACACTGCTAATTGTTTGTCCGTTTCAACCTTACTTTAAGAACATAATAATAGGATTAAGAATCCAAAATTATATTATCTGAATACAGTCCGTTTAGAACATATTTAAATCGCAATATTTTCATAGAGTCACGGTTCTTCAATGTCATCGTTTAAATGAATGAACTAACATTTCATTATTATTCAGTGGGCAGAAGAATCTGACCGCTAAACTTTAAACTGCCGTTCTACTTTGTTTCTACTGTCATATTAAAAGGCCCACACAATTCGCCCACGTCAGTTCCGTGTACGCGTTTTAAAGTACACATCCAATGCAAGACATCGCTTATGACAACTATACAACTTGTTAATAAGTTGAAAATAAGTTAGCGTAGAGGCGCTTACTCTCGGAACAAACAGGCAGAGATAATGTCCATTGCTTGTGAGCAATTAACAACTATGTTGTTTGTAGGCATAAAACGTGATGTAAGACTTCTGCGTTCCTAATCTAACCCCTACCACAAAATTAGCACACAGGATGCCTAAGGACGTTAAATGATGTACTATTCTTCTTGAAACTTAATTATTGTCCAATATTTTAAATGGTAATAACATTTGTTGGCATTAATTTTGAGTTATTTTAAGCGAGAACAATGCAATCAGTTATAGTACCTAGCAAATCGTATAGGTATGTAAATAATATAATTAGTCTGTAACATGTAATTTTTATTTTGGTTTTGTTTATGACAAAATTTATAATTTATGGAAAGGTTGCTGATAAAACAATAACTCTTAGTAAGATACTCGTATCTATTCGATATTATGAATTTCAACATAGTTTCAAAGACCTCTATCACAGAATCTACTTTAAGACTACTACGATACGGCATTTTATTTACACAGCTTTGCTTAATGAGATTTCTGCTTTTGTTTGAAACATATTGCCCAGCTGCAGTATTGGCTATCTCATTCGCGGATCTATCACGGCCTTAGACAATAAAAACCGTTAGAAAACCGGCACACAATAAGATATTTATATTGCGTATTTTTTATGTGACTAGTTGCCAAGCGAGCAGGCGGTTCACCTGGTGTTAGGTGAATACCCCCGCCCATGGACATCTGCTACACCCGGGGTTCCAGATGCATTGACAACCTTTTGAAAATTGGGCTCCGGCCACCTCACTCACCAGACGAAACACGAAAGTATTATACTTCCACTTTACGCCGGTCTTCTGTGAGGTCGTGGTACTTACCCAGGCGAGCCTGCCCATTCGTACAACAGCCGAGGCTGCTGCGTGGCCCTACCACCGTTATAATTGTTTAAGCAATTAGAAGCATCAAAAAGCAGCTTAGTTTCCTGTTATTTTCCATTAACCTACCATAATACTTATAACTAACAAAACCTGAAGCTCAGAAATCCCGGTCTCTGACTTATTAGGTATTAAGCTGCAACATATACTACGTACTTTAATGGTCGCATCAAAGTTTAGGGCTAAAACCTTCCCAGATAAAATGATAATCATGGAAATCAGACCAGTGATTCTAGAGTTATAACACTGCATCACCACACGAACAGCAAATAGGCAGCGGAACGACTTTGTTTCATACTATGCAGTGAAAACAAACTTACGTTAAAATATTTACAATGTAACATTTGATTTGGACGGTTTATCATTATGGGATGTTCCACATTCGATGCCCGTTTTCCTCAAATTATCCTCTTGCAATTCCAGACCTTGACCCACTGCGCGCGAATCAATACGCATTCGCTCGCAAACACTACTTCAAAGATACTCGCATCAAAACAGTTGCGGTTTTCGGATATAATTAGCGTAATGTCATCTGGTCTGTTAGAGGTTTAAATCTGCTAACGACAAAATTATTATTAATGTTAGCTACACCACAAGTGTTCCAATATGTTTATATAATTTACTGATAATTTATCTTTTGTGTCCACTTCCTTTTTTTTTTATTTCAGTTTATAAGTATGATTGACTCTTTTTACCAATGTTGTGTATAACCTTTAATAGGTATATTTTATACATATTATACAGCGTGTCGTTACCATCGCGACAATAAATGAACACACGTCTAATGCTACTTGCCAATAATCATAAAAAAATATTAACGTTAAACAAAATCCATAATTAAAAAAAAATATTTTTCAAACAAACTAATTAAGTAAAAAAGAAACAAAATTTGTAACATCCTATACAACTCGCGCCACAGCGTCGTTTTACAAGCCTCTCCTTCTAACAGTATGTTTTGTCTCTTTTAAATCCATTCAACCCATTCATATGCTTTGTGACCTTTACAAATGAACTTTACGTTACGCTTTTATAGGTAAGGGTGTTCTAAAATTCTTTGTTTTGGAAAATTTAATAACTCTGTAAATATGGATGTTTAAAGAATTTAAATGTTTAATACAGGTTTAAAAAGTTATCCCCTATATGTGTTTTCATTTATTGTCTCGATGGTAACGACACGCTGTATATATAAGAATTGGCCCTATAGCTAAGAACACATAAATTATACTATGTTTTGCTTTTGGTGTACCTAATAATAAATAAATACATTTAATATGGAACACTGTTTTTGAAGAGCCGTGATAGCTCAGTGTCCGGGCGCTCGCCTTTAAATCAATATACTCGAGCAACCTGAGTTCGATCCCCGGTGCCGGTACCAATGAAATTATTAATTTCAAGTGCTGAATTATCACGTGCTCAGCGGTGAAGGACAACATCATGAGGAAACCTGCATATTTTCGAAATAATAACAAAAAAATATTTTGAAGACATGTCTTGTGAAATCCGCCAATCAGCAGTGGGGCTGCGTGGTGGACTATGATACTCTCTGTGCAGAGGAGGCCTTTGTCCAGCAGTGGGACATTTATAGGCTGTTACTTTACTTTACTGTCTACTTGACACTGCCAAAGGAGAGTTAAAGGCTGCCTTCCCAGTACCCACAGCACGTTGTCATAATATACTTGTGCTTAAAACACAGCTAGGTTGGAAACTGCTACGACATTATTATAAGCTCTCGTATTTAATGGCGCTTGGTTTAAATTTTAACTGTCAGTCGTTATTTATGTGATGAACGTTCCACCGCCGTTTCGGTGCCAGGGCGTCAGTTAGATTCTCGGTAATTATTTGTTTCGCCTTAAGAGCGTTTCTGAGAACTATCAAAGGTTAATAGGTTACCCAGATAAATAAAATTAACACCATTTGTGGCAAAATATTTAGAAGTGAATTGTCTTCAGTTATCTTTCTTTATTAACAACTATAAATACGAACATTGAATCACTGTAAGCCATAATTACAGAAGAAAGAACCACGCCCTTCTATAAACGATTTAGCATTTTCAACTTGCTACTGTATAGCCAAGTATATTGGGGCATAAGCCAATACGTTTCTAACGTCATAATATAAGACATATTACAAAAAATACGATTAAAACATGTAGAAAAAGTACGAAAAGATTGTCGCCGCTGTGGGAATCGAACCCACGTCTTCGGCATTCGCGGCCTGACGCTCTAGCGACTGAGCTAAACGGCTGATAGCCACAGCGACGAAAATCTTAACGCCTTCTTTCTACATTGTTATTTAGCATTTGAAGCAATGCTTGGCGCATCTATTGTTATATCCTTTCCAGCATACAAACAATTTCGAATATCGTTATACAA